GCAACGTCATGTAAAACATATGCAACGTCATGTAAAACATATGCAACGTCATGTAAAACATATGCAACGTCATGTAAAACATATGCAACGTCATGTAAAACATATGCAACGTCATGTAAAACATATGCAACGTCATTTACAGAATATGCCATTTTCTGCGAAGAATATGCAACGTCATGTAAAACATATGCAACGTCATTTACAGAATATGCCATTTTCTGCGAAGAATATGCAACGTCATGTAAAACATATGCAACGTCATTTACAGAATATGCCATTTTCTGCGAAGAATATGCAACGTCATGTAAAACATATGCAACGTCATGTAAAACATATGCAACGTCATGTAAAACATATGCAACGTCATGTAAAACATATGCAACGTCATGTAAAACATTTGCAACGTCATGTAAAACATATGCAACGTCATGTAAAACATATGCAACGTCATGTAAAACATATGCAACGTCATGTAAAACATATGCAACGTCATGTAAAACATATGCAACGTCATTTACAGAATATGCCATTTTCTGCGAAGAATATGCAACGTCATCTAAAACATATGCAACGTCATTTACAGAATATGCCATGTTCTGCGAAGAATATGCAACGTCATGTAAAACATTTGCAACGTCATTTACAGAATATGCCATGTTCTGCGAAGAATATGCAACGTCATGTAAAACATATGCAACGTCATTTACAGACTATGCCATTTTCTGCAAAGAATATGCAACGTCATGAAAAGAATATGCAAGGTAAAATAAACATTAAACAACTCTCAACAAAATAAACAAAGCAAAACCTGGAAATCAATGGCTGCTAAGTGTCCCCTCAAGCCGTTGATACAACACAGGAAACAGTTCCAGACACGGTGTTGGGTATAAAACCATTAATTACCAAGAAAGACTTGCATACCGTTAGAAAGTTAAGTACAGAACGACACTAATCTCGTGTGGTGTATTTTACATATATTTGTTGCGAGTGTTCTCCAACTATATTGTAATGAAATGTTTAACATTGGTTTATTTTTTTTTTTTTTTAAATTGAACGATTGTAAATTATGGTAGATAGTATCAAATTTATAGTCCATTTTGATTCACTTTAACCGACAAAAAATGCCTATTTTTGCGTATTCAAAACTATTTTGGATTCGTTTGCTGTTTTCAGTCACCGGTCTGATGCGTGGTTCTAACCTTAGCTGCGAAACTTTACTTATTCAAATTAGATCTGGTGAAAATAGTACTGAGTTGTCCGAGAACAATAATATCCACAATTTTAGTTCACAGGAATCCGACTGGTGGAGAATGTACGAGACACAACCTTACTCTTCATCAACGAAACCTGAATCAAATGGCAGAAAGTGTGGCTGGAACAGCAGCACCATTTCAGCGAAAGAGTTACAAATAGCTTACTGCTCCAGACAGTGTCAAGGAAATCTGCTGGTGTCTCCGAGAGGGTCAAACGTGTGCTTTAATGTGATATGTTTTCCCTGTGATTGTGATAAACCACTGTGTGAATTTTATGGAACATGTTGCCATGATTATCACACACCATCTGTGAATTCTAACACAGTCTTTGAGGATGACCCGAAAACAAAAACAACAGCAAAGCATAGGCTCGACCCTGACAGTACGGGAAACGATATAAATTTAAACAAAGACACAAGTATACATTTAGTCTGTGATGGTCCTTCAAAACATGAACAGATGTCTGCAAGATCGTGTCCATCCAATTACCCTGACGATGATGTGAAGTCTAAGTGCCAGGACGACATACCGTCGGCTGAACAAGCCATTGATACATTTCTTCATGTGGCTGACAATATTACAGGGCGTTCATTTTATAATCAGTACTGTGCTGCCTGTCACAAAGTCCAACAAGTAAGTTTGATAATCGCTGCCTGACGACGTTTCTTGTCAAATTCAATTCCCACTCTAATGTAAAGTAACTAAAGATCCATTTTCACGCTTTAGGCGCATCAGGCATATGAGAAATGCACCAATATTTTTACAAAACAGTGGGTAATGTGGTCAGCACTACGTCGGCTGTCTTTACTTCCCCAGGACATACATCCAGGTACCCATTTTAGGCTGGGTCGACCTGCAACGCCCCCATACATGATAAAAATCCGTGCAGCCAGCAGTGGGTTTCAATAGCGGTACGTTAGAGTTACAAGTCGGCCTCGCAACGCCCGAGCCACAGACACCCCTCTCACTCTTAAGAGTATAGGTATTTCTTCATCGCCACATCAAAAATGTTTCTCTTTTTCCTTCTTTCAATCCTCTTCAGCTTCTTTTATTCTTTATTTTCTTTTTAAAGCCACGCCATAAAATCAAAATGGTTAGGATGTTTGTCTCCTGCAACATGCTCCCTACACCATTCAATTATATCATTTTCGAGCATGTATGGAGAAAGACTGAGCTATTAATATACATATATATATATAACCAGCTCATTCAGCAAACGGTTTCGTTGAAGCGAAACGCATCTAAAGGAAGGTGGTGATGTAGCTTCTTGAGAAATGGGTGAACACAAAAACCAAATACGCCAGTCCTTCTAGAAACTGGGGAGCCGTCTTGGTGCGGCAGCTAGATGCTCATCTGTGGATACGAAGGTCGTGGGTTCAGTTTCTCATAGAACCAGACTTCTTTTTTCTTCAAAACTGACCTCGACTCCTAGGTCAAGCTTGTCGGCATAACACTGATGATGATGATGATGATGATGATGATGATGATGATGTGATGATGATGATGATGATGATGATGATGATGATGATGATGATGATGATGATGATGACGCTGCTGTTGTTAATACATATGAAATAACGAAATTATATTACTTATGCAAATGTATTTCTCTCTCATTCTCTCTCTCTCTCTGTCTCTGTCTCTGTCTCTGTCTGTCTGTCTCTCTCTCTCTCTCTCTCACACACACACACACACACACATGACAAGGAAGTCAAGATGGATGATACATGGTTAAGACCAGCCACATATATAAGAAGGGCTTCGTATTATCCATGGTAATGTTTACTGTAAGTATTATTAACCGAAGACTGATACTTTTCAGCATCAAGTGTCGCGCCGATAAGCACATGCTGTCACTTTTCGCCATCTCAAACAATCACCAAAACCACGGATCAGATCAGTGTTTTTGTCCCTCCCCTTCTGTAAAACTAGCTTGTGCTGGAATTAATCTCTTTTCCCGCGCTGCCTTCGCGTCACTTTTGCCCGTTGTTACCAAGTCCTCGAGTCTATTCTTTTTCGTAACATGTCCGAAAAACACTGACTGTCTTAGTTTGATTTTTCTTATCAATTTACGAATTTCATCTGTCCTCTGGAGGACTGTTCCATTTTTTTTTTCTATCATTTCATGGCATTCTTTGTATTCTTCTCAAAGACCACATCTTCGCAGCAAGTAAATGCTTTTTATCTTGCCAGCTTATTGTCCATGTCTTACACGCATAAAGACCATTTTTGCCAGTGAGAATCCTGTATCTTATTTTTATCGATTTACTTGCTGGAGAATTTTGCAATTTGCATGTGTTTTGTACTGTAGTATTTCTTTATTCTTGATGATGTCAACAACCTAACCCTAAACTTGCATGCTCGCTGTGTATAATTACTGTCTCCAAAAAGCACTGCAGATCCTGTTCATTGCCAACAATCAGTACCGTATCCTCTGCATCTTATGTTGTTGATGTTATTCCACACAAAAAAATACCTCCCCCCCCCCCCACCCCCTCCCTTTTTTCACGTTGATTCCCTTCATATACTTAGGATGTCTCCTAAAATTTTCAATAAATAAAAAAAAAATACCCGTAGACACTGCACATGCATGTGACACACCTATCTTGACGACTAGTTGGTACAGACCTACTCCATTATAGATTTTTTACAAGTATATGTTCTTAACCAGTAGAATGTATTTTTCATCAGTTAGCAGATTTGTAAACATTAAGACTATACCGTACATTGTAAATACTTGCTTGTCAATTTCTACTCCCCAGTTCACAGCTTGGATTCTGACAGTAGAATGCTCCAGCTATATGACCGTGTACACGTCATGTACTTCAGATGAATTACTCCGCCTGAGCCTGGCTCCAGATTCTGGGTGCAACACTCTCCAGACGCCTCCTGCTGGTCTCACGCCATACTCATGCGACAAAGTCTGGTTTGCTACGACCATTATCGACACCTGCAACGTGACCGGTGATTGGGATGAATACGATGAAGACATTGCTCTAGCTTGTGAAGACGTTTCTGGTCTCGTAAATCGTGTGCGAGACATCACTAGCTGTGGTATTGCTGTATATAAAAACTTATTCTGTGCTATGTGCAACATGCGAGGCTGCAAAAAGCTTGGTACAAATTGTGTACTGCCATGCAGAGCTACGGCTACAGGCTGGGGACATAACACAGATCCACGTTTGCCATTTTCTGTTTTACTCAACTTCGGCTCTCGGGGCAGTCTGGAATCCGAGAAACCGAACTTGATGAGATGCTCTCAAGACTCAGACTGGACAAGTCCAGATAACAAGTGTTTACCTTTGCAATGTAGCCCCGGCAAGATACTAACCAACGGTAACTGCACTACAGCGTTCAACCAAATACGAGGATTGATCTATCAAATACATACCGTCTATGTTCCTACTAGTCCATTAGTGAAGCCCTCAAGGACGGGATACAATTCCGACTTTTATCCAACATATCTGAATTTATTTACAAGTATGATTCAGCATGTTTATCTCTGGTAGCAAGCGAATGTCACATCATGGTTAGTATGGCATTCTCAGACCAGACTATTACAACGGCAGAAAACGTGACTGACGAACTTGTGAAGACAACAAGAATCAATTGGTTTGTCATCGATGGTTATATTACAGCTAACTCTTTACTAAGTCGAGATGAGATGGAAGCGCTCATTATACGGGAACTTCTCCTAATAACATAACTCTTGATATAGATACAAATATAACATTGCCATTAGCTCCCATGCTACGCCCACACCGTAGGCAGAAATATCTAAATTGCAGTTATGATGACAAACGGCGGATATCATGTATATCTTCTTGTATACCTTCCAACGACTATAATTTATGTCAATTTGATTTGAAGGATATAAAGCAAGCTATAATAGTTGAGCCTCATCTAGCCTGTCCTTTTGTGCAGTTTGATAAAACAGAGTATGTGCACGTGAACGATATCACTACTAAATCTGACAGTGCTAGCATAACTTTGTTCTTTACAAACGCTAGAATGAATTTTTCTGGCAGAACTGAGCTAAACATGGCGTCTATTGATGACAATGGAACTTTGAGAATCTGTCTGGAATTGCTAAATACTAAGAACATAATTAGGGGTGATCTGGTTAACAAAAACCTGTTAAATCTGGCTCTATATATACTAACTTTAATCTGTGTCATTTCGTCAATCATTTGTCTGGCTATCTCATTAATGACGTATTTCCTGTTCCCGGTGCTGCGCAGTGTCGCTGGAAGGAACAACATGTTCTTGTGTGGAAGCCTTTTACTGGCCCAAATATCTTTGCTGGCCACATCTCATGTCCAAAAAACTGGCCATCTCTGTACTATCTTGGCCATCTGTACTCACTTTTTGTGGCTGTCAATGTTCTGTTGGTGCTTTACTTGTTGTTTCCACATGTTCTGTGTCTTTTCTGCCAAAACTCGAAGCATTCAACCCACATCAAAGTCAGAAATGACATACTTGATTAAACAACTAGTTGTTTGTTCTGTAATTCCTGTTCTAATTGTTACCGGGGTTATTGCAACAAATTTGACAATCTCTGGAGGACAGTTTCTTGGATACGGAAACTCTACCTGCTTTATAGACTCTCAAATCACCCTCATCATTGCTCTGGTTGCCCCTCTGTGTCTGGTGCTGTTATTCAACTTCATATTTTTCTCAATCACTGTTTTCAAAATCTATCAAGTTCGTAAACTACAGACTCGGGAATTCAGGAAAGATGATCACAATAATCTCTACATTTACATTAAACTGTCATCCATGACTGGCATTTTCTGGGTCCTGTCTGTCATTTCTGAAGCCACAGACAATGATCCTCTACGTTTTATATCTATCGGGTTGAATGGCTTACAGGGTGTGTTCATCTTCTTGTCCTACATCTGTAACAGGAGGGTGCTCAAGCTCTACCTGAAACTTCTTGGGCTAGAAACAAATTTTCCCACAACATCAACCTCAGATAGAAGCACCATCGCCAAAGCTGTAACAGGCACAGACTAACAGTCGCTCATGCTCTGAAATGTTCCCAAAACTCAGTTCCCAAAACTGAGTGGTTAGAAAAAAAATTATAAGAAGGCGAAAGTTCAAGCTTTGTAGCAACTGTTATAGTTATCGTTTATTTCTTTTAGAATAGTTAGCCGGTAGATCACACTCACCGCACATCTGTGGCCAAAACTAAAGTCGTGCGTCTTGGACGTGAGTGCATCTTAAGTTGCGTTATTAATGACTTGCTATTCAGCTTGTAGCAGCCTTTTGGTATGCCAGTTCTTTGACCCACTGTGAAGTTTGGTGATCACGTCACAATGTTAGACTTGCAACTTGCAGCCTTTGACCCTTTGACGACTTGGTATGACTCGTTCTTTGAAGAGCACTGCCCACTGTTGACTTGCACTGGTGAAGCACTTGTGACTCAGACCTGTGCTTGACTCGTTCCATATAAAACACTGACTTGGAAAGAACAAGATTAATTCGGTGGATTTGGAACTTGGTGGCAATGACTTGAGACAAGACTTGGGAATTGGTGGCACACTTGGGACTTCAATGAATTGGGACAGTTTTGGGACTAGAGACTTGCACTGCCATAGAGACTTGGTGGCAATGACTAACTTGCAAACTTGGATGAGTGGGACTTGGTGCAATGACTTGGGGACTTGGAAGCATTCTTGGTGACTCGAGACCTGTGCTTGGGACTCGTTGGCAGTGTCTTGGAACTTGGTGACACTGACTCGGAACTTGGTGGCAATGACTTGGGACTTGGTGGCAATGACTTGGGACTTGGTGGCAATGACTTGGGACTTGGTGGCAATGAATAGGGACTTGGTGGCAATGACTTGGGACTTGGTGGCAATGACTTGGGACTTGGTGGCAATGACTTGGGACTTGGTGGCAATGACTTGGGACTTGGTGGCAATGACTTGGGACTTGGTGGCAATGACTTGGGACTTGGTGGCAATGACTTGGAACTTGGTGGCAATGAATTGAGATTTGGTGGCAATGACTTGACTTGGTGGCAATGACTTGGGACTTGATTTGGACTTGAAGAGTGATGACTTAATCCAACGTGTTCTGCACGGAGAACCATTTAGTCCATAGGTAATCACGTCCCCTCCTCAGTCTACCCTCCAGCATGTAGCGGTTGACGACACAACTTCTATATGTTGGACTATTTTTCTTCGTAGGGTACCTGCATTGTGCTCTCATCTGGTCTCGTACTGCCTGACTTGCTGCTTGTGCATTCTGGTCATTGTAGCAAATTTAATCATCATTTCATTCAAGCAGCAGCTAACTTCTTACAGAGTAGTCAGTATTTCAGCCTGGTCCATTACTCGTCTGCACTCCATGATAGTCCTTTCAGCAGTCTGTCAGCTTGTATTACACCTGCATGACATGGCACAAAAAGAAAACTAATGTTTGTCAGTCCAGACGGCATCAGAAGCTAAAACCACTGTCCAATTGATCTTCCTGGCATACTTAGTGAGAACTAATATTGGAAAAATCTCGCAGCCCTTTAGATGGGGTGAAAAAGTGGAAAAGAACCTGACATTCATACTTTATCTGTCTATTGTCTTTCTCTGCTTAATGCCATTAGGCATCACAGGCAGGGCAAATGATTGGTTTCCATGATGGTGCTTACTTAATAGCTTGCTGCATGGTGATACTGTTGAGTTTTAACAACTTGTTATTTCCATCTATCCATATTCGTCTTGGCCTTCCTCTGCTTACTGGTGTTTCCATTCCCATGTTGATGATCTAGCAACCAATGACGCTGGGTTCATTCTGATAATATGGCCAAACCAATTCAGTTTTTGTTTTTTAGTACATCTAATTACAGGTGTTGGTCCCACCATTCTAATTATATCTTCGTTTTTTTTTTTTATATATATATTTATGTTCACTGCTTTTCTCAAACATCCCATTTCAGAAATCATTAGTTTCCACTCTTGCTCTTTTGTTGGTGCCCAGGTTTGGCATTGGTAACACAATGTTGGAACATTTATCTATCATACTACTAGCCTAAAACCATGTTTTGTGTGTGTGTGTGTGTGTTAGTTTTGTTCACTGTTTATGTGTTTCATTTTTATTGTTAATAAGTATCATTTCCTTCAAAACCTGGATGCTAGAACCGTATTCTAACTGTCTGCAGACAGATAGACAGACATAAAACTAAGATTTGTCAGACAGAATCAGGTAACTTTATACAATTTTAAATGAAAAACAAGAGTTTTGGTTATTTATTATTTATTGTTCAGTTTATGACCTGCAGGTAACAAAACATATTAAAAATTGTATACAAAACATTAACAAAAGTAGTTCTTACACAAATCTAAGCAGATCTTCCAGGCATGGGATGTAACACTGTAATAAGTAAATTTTTTAACACGCACAATTTAAATACAGTGTAACAGTTTCAAATCTCTTGCTGCTAAATGACAGGTTAATAAGGCTTGATCAATGATTCTAATTATGGCTAAAATAACTGGAGAAGTTAAGAGATGCTGTGAGAATCAGAAGAAACTAACAAAATGACATGTCTGTTTCTTTACTTTCTTTGTCTTGTAATGAGAAAAAAAAAAAACAAGCATCATGTTTGCTGATTACTGCTGAACATGTACAGACTCCAGTTTTCAACTAGCTCTTATCTCCATGTGTGCTGTTTTCTTAATCTCATTTGTTTTGCTAAATTTCAACAACTTTTTTGTATTCTACCCTCAAATGATTCTTACTCAACCTCCTTTTCACAACCCGGCCTCAGTTCTCTCATCATCCTTTCCCCATGCCTGAACATTTCTTTTCCCTTGTATCTTCTGCAAGAAGTGTATGACTCAACAATTGTATCTTTCATTATCCTTTTGAGAGTTTATGTCAGAGCAGTTCTTCTCTTATTTCTTTATCTTTTGTCAAATCATTGCTTCAACAGTTTAATTTATAAACTGAAGAAATTAATTTACAGCCAAAATATAACAAATGTAACAGAATATGAATAAACAATATACAGTTTAAATAAAAGATAATGAATTCCAATTTTGTTTCTTGATGCCGCTACACTTTGTCTTATGGATAAAGTGAATATCAGGCTGAGGTCACACAAGGTTAAATAAAATTCAACACCATCACCTACACAATTAGTGTTCAAAACCGGGCAGCTCCCGGGGTTCACCCAGCCTCTAGGAACTCTGGGGTAAATGGAGGAGCGTCGCTGTAGCTACAGAGTTACGTGCGAACGGCGACACAAGCGAACAATTCTTATCAGCTGTCCATACTGGTGGCAAAGCACTTATGGTTTATAACCTTGTGCAATGACGCTGGTTCACATCTCCTAACTTTACCTTTTTTTACCTTTATGTCTAAGGCAGCAAATTGTGCAATCCATGATTTGTAAGCTAGAGCTTTCCCTGGAGTAGTCTTTAAACACTCCAGCCCAAATCTTTTATTTGATCGCCAGTGGTACAGGAAACTGATTAAATCTGCACATGAAATTTGTGTCCATTGCAAAACACAGTAGAAAAATGTGTAGTCAAATAACACACTAAGCCAGATTTTTTTTTTGGGGGGGGGGGGGGGGGGGGGAAGGAGGGGGGAGGGCGTTTTAATTTCATTCTGTATTAGGTAATTATACTTAATGTATAACTAATCTTGAAGGCTTCTAGTATTTTTATTACAGTAAAAAGAAATGACTGCTTCACTCAATAAAACTGTCAATTAACTTAACATATAAACAACAAGAAAATTCTGCCAGTTTAAGTTCAAACATTGCTTATAAATAAATGTGTAGATGGTGAAATATTACCTATTATTCATACAATATTGTTTTCCAATGGACACATATATAAGCCAATATGGCAGACTCTTTGTGAAGAACTGAAATGGAAGACATGGAACCTGGACTTATTTGTGTGGGTTTTCTTCCTCCCTTATCTACAGGTGTTGCTCCCTAAAAAACCCTCCAGGGCAACCATGTGTAGACTGGTCGATACTCAAGGGAAGGCAGAGGAATATCATGGGCATTCCAAGCCAAGCAAGGAGGCTTCCATAATTGCAGAGCTGACACATGATGCTCTGATCCTGGGCTCACTCAAGGAATCATCACGTCCCACTCACATCCATATATTGAGCTTCCCACTCATCACGGGCTGCACCTTTCATAGATTAGCAGGCAAAAAAAATATTTTAAAAAAATCCTTTTCTTGGACTCTTTCAGTGTGAGAGTGATGTTCTGGCAAAGGATCGCTATGTGATGATTAATAATAAAGGCTTATGTTTATTATCCGGTTAACTCTTTTGAGTCCCAAGGAACGCACCATACCTTTATAGGTTCCCACCTAGAGGCCCAATAAACGCAAGATGCGCCGATTTTAAATCTCTCTTGACTACCTCTTGGGCCTCTAATGCTAAATCCCCTTGGACTCAAAGAGTTAAGGCAGTTTTTGGTGTGTATGTTCCAGAATGAACAAAAAATATGGCCACTGAAAAACAAAACAAATAGAAAACGGTCTCTAAGATCTGTGTTGTTGTGTTGTTGCTTGCTGCTGCTGGTGTTGCTGTTGTTATTTTTGACACCTCTTCTGCTTTCCAGAAAAAAGATTTTATCGTGCCACAGTGATGCATGGGACTTGTATGTATATAGAGCCTAAATAAATGTCAGTCCACATTACAGACATTAAAGGTTTTCTAGGGGTGCAAAGGTTGTGTTTTTGTTTTGTCAGTTTTTTTGTGTGCTCCCCTCAACTCTAATTTTCCATTTTAATTTATGTTGGAATCACTTATGGGAACTGCAGTCATGTGTTTGAATCTTGCAACCATTTAAATAGAGTGCACCACATGGTGTGAAAAGCTTTTTTTTTTTTTTTAAACTTAGAATTTAGAATTTAAAAACTTATTTATACAAGACAACAATAGATAATTACAAAACACAGGCAACAAAATAACCTGTATGGGTTCCGGAGCCCAAGCAGGTCTATTCTTGTATCCCCTAAACAGGGCCCCAGAACCATTGATACTTCAGTGATAGTATCTGGCACACTAGGCATAAGTTCTGCATGTACCAAGAGACAATTCATGAACATTGTGATCTGCACTATCAACACACATACGGGAAATTTCCCATGAAGCAAAGGTGGCTGATATTTTGACTCAATCCTCAGTCAAGAGCTTCTTCTTCTTCAGCATTCCCAGCTCTAGAGGTTTATTGCTGCAGATATCACCCGCCTCCATTAGTCTCTCTGGTTGGCAGATGAGTGCTGATTAATCAAAATATAATATGGGACCAAACTAACAGCATGTGCCTGAAAATCGTCATGACATGGTCAGGGGTATTTTACTTACTTTACTTAAAACTAAGAACCGGGGAAGAGGGAGCAATTGAAACTTTCTTAAAACTGACCAACTTTATGATAGCCTGCACAGTAAGGCTAATTTAAAACTTAAACTCTGAACAGTTTAAATGACCAGCAATTAATTAATACTCCCTCCCCAATGATTCAATGATGTGCTAAACAGCATAAATGAAACACTGAAGGTATACCATCACTTTAAAACACTGATTCTATTTCACGACCCATGGCATAATGTCATCTTTTACATTTGGTCACTAACTACCTAAAAAACTCTGACCACCCTGATGGTCACTCTCACAGTGTGCTTAACTTCTTATAAAGTAATTCACTTGTGATAATTCATAGTGATTATTTCCTCCCACTGGCATTTACTGCCAAACTTTATGGAACTGAAAGATGCAATGAACATTATTTCTCTTTTTCTACTACAGTTGTTTGGTAAGCATGATAATGCAGTACTACATTCTACTCTGGCTATACTAAATGTTTAGTTTGTCAAGGTTCTATTTTATTACAAGAATAACATGAAAGACATTTGGTATGCTACATTTTATTTTAATAAATGAAAAATAAAGAAAACTCATTTACTTAATTATGTTTTGAGGATATGATGTTATACATGTTATACATGTGTGTTTATGTCCCAAATGGCATATTGCTCAAAATTCTCAGATATGTGCTGATGGCGAAAGCCAAATATGGAAGAAATATCAGCCTATCCCTATCCATTTGACAAATACTAACAGAAACAAAGACATTGTCACAGCAAAGAAACATTAGCACATCAAACAAATGAAACACATAAGGACACATAAGAAAATTAGCTAAAGAAGGATATTCAGTAATTCATAACTGTTCTGATAATCGTCTAGTTCTTCTTGTTAGTTAATATATAAAATAATTGTTTTGAGTTTGAATGTTCAGCAAATTTACCTATGTGGATTCATTAATAATAAAACTTAAATGTAAAATCTTTATCAGCATTGAAAATAACGAAGTGTGTATCAGTTGCATTCTCTGACTGCAGCCTGAAAGATGAGATACCTACTGACTCAAAGGGCCAATATTTAGATGTGAATCCAAAAAAGACTAAAAAGCAGGTACCCTGTAAAACCCATTTAAAACAGCTATACTGGGGTGTTCTATGACTACAAAGTAAACAGTTGATCATGTGGGTGATGGGTTATGCTTGATCACTCTGTCATTCTCAAGTTTTGAGTGATTGAGCCAATCTTGTGTCATAAATCTTTTGTACATCTTCGTATGCCTTCATGTTTTCAAGCAATCCATAGCATGTAGTGATAGGATGTGATATTCAGGTGTCTAGGCTGACATCCCAGCGTCTCCACTTTTTCACTGTCTCACTTCAATATACAGTTTTTTTATACACAAAAATGGGTGTTTTGACCAGTTATAGTATGGTAAAAGTCTCTACCCTAAAAACAGGGCCGGATTTAGACTTGATGAGGCTCAATAAAACCCCGAGCCCCCAACATTCCCCACCTCCCAGTTTTAAATTACACATGGTAATAGCAGAAAATGTGAAAGTATCAGACGAGCACAAACTGATGGATTGTTCAACAAGGATAATTCATTTAAGATATTTTTTCTTTGCCTATAATCTCAATGCAGAGCATAGGCACCAGATCTGTAGTTCTTAGGCACCAGAATCTGTAGTTCTTAGGCACCAGAATCTGTGGTTCTTAGGCACCAGAATCTGTAGTTCTTGGGCAATCTGTAGTTCTTAACCAGAAATCTTTTCTTAGGCACCAGAATCTGTAGTGCAACTATCTGTATTCTCTCCAACTCTGCTTAGGCACCAGAATCTGTGGTTCTTAGGCACCAGACTCTGTGGTTCAGGCAGAATCTGTAGTTCTTAGGCACCAGAATCTGTATAGTTCTTAGGCACCAGAATCTGTAGTTCTTAGGCACAGAATCTGTAGTTCTTAGGCATCTGTAGTTCTTAGGCACCAGAATCTGTAGTCTGGCACCAGACTCTGTGTTCTTAGGCACCAGAATCTGTGGTTCTTAGGCACCAGACTCTGTGGTTCTTAGGCACCAGAATCTGTAGTTCTTAGGCACAGAATCTGTAGTTTTTTAGGCAACAGACCATCTGTGGTTCTTAGGCACCATCTGTAGTTCTTAGGCACCAGACTCTGTAGTTCTTAGGCACCAGAATCCTCTTAGGCACCAGACTCTGTAGTTCTTAACCAGACTCTGTAGTTCTTAGGCACCAGACTCTGTATTCTTAGGCACCAGAATCTGTAATACCAGACTCTGTGGTTCTTAGGCACCAGAATCTGTAGTTTCTTAGGCACCAGAAATGTATTTTTTAGGCACCCAGAATCTGTAGTTCTCCCAGAAAAACTGTAGTTCTTAGGCACCAGAATCTGTAGTTCTTAGGCACCAAAATCTGTACTTAGGCACCAGACTCTGTAGTTCTTAGGCACCAGAAATCTGTTGTTCTTAGGCACAGATCTCTGTGGTTCTTAGGCACCAGAATCTGTAGTTCTTAGGCACCAGAATCTGTAGTTTTAGGCACCAAACTCTGTGGTTCTTAGGCACCAGAATCTGTAGTTCTTAGGCACCAGAATCTGTAGTTCTTAGGCACCAGAATCTGTAGTTCTTAGGCACCAGAATCTGAGTTCTTAGGATCTGTAGTTCGTTAGGCACCAGACTCTCAAGGCACCAGAATCTGTGGTTCTTAGGCACCAGACTCTGTGGTTCTTAGGCACCAGAATCTGTAGTTCTTAGGCACCAGAATCTGTAGTTCTTAGGCACCAGAATGTGGTTCTTAGGCACCAGACTCTGTAGTTCTTAGAGCACACAGGCAGGCACCAGAATCTGTAGTTCTTAGGCACCAGACTCTGTAGTTCTTAGGCACCAGAATCTGTAGTTCTTAGGCACCAGACTCTGTAGTTCTTAGGCACCAGAATCTGTAGTTCTTAGGCACCAGACTCTGTGGTTCTTAGGCACCAGAATCTGTAGTTCTTAGGCACCAGAATCTGTAGTTCTTAGGCACCAGAATCTGTAGTTCTTAGGCACCAGAATCTGTAGTTCTTAGGCACCAGAATCTGTGGTTCTTAGGCACCAGAATCTGTAGTTCTTAGGCACCAGAATCTGTGGTTCTTAGGCACCAGACTCTGTAGTTCTTAGGCACCAGAATCTGTAGTTCTTAGGCACCAGACTGTGGTTCTTAGGCACCAGAATCTGTAGTTCTTAGGCACCAGAATCTGTAGGGCACCAGAATCTAGTTCTTTAGGCACCAGAATCTGTAGTTCTTAGGCACCAGAATCTGTAGTTCTTAGGCACCAGAATCTGTATTTTTGAGGACCCTAGAGGCCCCCTACCAAACCGCCCCTCCTCCCCCACCACCCCCACACACATACACCCATTTTTTGTGCATCTCTGGTTCTTAGTTACATGACCTCAGAGTGGGGCTTCGTCAAGCACACTGGTATCCTCTGTGAGGCGACCATAAGAGACAAATCAACTTCTCATATGATCTATCAGTATCTCATGTGGGTTCCAGGGCCCCATTGAGGGAAAAACAAAAAAAAGACCCACTGCTTTCTCAAACAACATGTTGTATGACTAATTTGGAGGCTTCCTTTGTAGTCAGACTGCATCTGTCTGAGAGGCACAGAATCAAGAGTCTGCACATAAATAATCCAGATCTGTAAAACAGATGTGCACAAAACAGTAGGAGTACCTTGGAGTGGGCGCTGCATCAGATGGCTGAGCAGGCTTAGAATGCCTACTGTGCAGTTAAATAGAATGTGCTAACATAACATACAAATATCTACATTGGTAAAGTATAGAAAAATGTGAAACATACTATACAATAACATAAGCTTTAATAAATATATACAAACTGTATTTACATTTCACTGGTATAACTTAATATATTGTGCACATTTTTTTATATACATTTATTTTTTAAGTATGATTGTGAGGCAGGTTTAGAAAAGTCTCTGAAAAATGTAACGGAACACTTAAGTCAGAGCTGTTTTCTACTGAATGTTAGAACAAACTTCAATGCATTTATACCAAGTGTAAGGGCAGCATCTGGCTGAGTGGTTAAAAAAACTTGGCTCTCTTTCATGAGATCCAAGTTTAAATCCTTGATAATATGATGAATTTTGTTCTGTCAGAAGCAAGAATAAAATCCTCACCTGCATAGTCTGAACCCTGTGGCCTGAATTCCTCAAGCTCTAATAAGTCAGAACTCATGCCACAAATAATTCAAGCCCTTAAACATGGTGATTAAAAAAAAACTAGACCACGATTACAACCAAACTATTCTCAGCAGGGTTAAACATGGTCAGATTTGTGTGGGTTTTTTTTTCCATCCAAACTAATAACAACAACTCAGGTTCATGACCCCCCCCCCCCCCCCCCCTGTACTACACTGCCCTAATTAAGTAGTATGTACAGGCAGTTTTGTTAACAACAAATGATGCAATAACATATTTTCAGCAACATCTGAGATTCATTCTTGGTGACCTTTATGGGGTCGATTCTGAGCTTGCAAAAGTTTGTAGTAAGCTCCCTTGCTGACCAGTAGCTGAGAGTGTGTGCCAATTTCAATTACTTTTCCCTTACTGACTACAGCAATTTTGTCTGCATTCTGAATGGTGGACAGTCGATGAGCAATGGTAATGCAGGTTCTGTTCTTACTTGCTTTGTCTAAAGCTTCTTGGACAATCTGGATATGGACATAGAAAATAAAGTACTAGAAATTTCATTGGTGTTTTTAGGAGTACAATATTTACTTAACTTAAATACAACAATAACAATTTGTATGAAATAAAAATATCTCAGCAAAAAAACACAAAAAAACACACAAAAACTAAGATAACCAACTGCAGACAAGAAGAAGTCTTTCGAGGCTGCTGCAGCTGGGGACAAGAAGAGAGATGAAGTTGAGATGGTAGCTTACAAAGGGAAGTCTGTAGATCCCAACAAACCCAAGAGGCCAACAACTGCTTTTTTTTTCTTTTCCTGGCCGACTTCCGAATTAGGACGGCAAAAAAGGGCGTGGCATGGAGCACAAGGAGCTGCTTAAAATGGCCGGTGAAGAGGGAGACCAATGAAGATGAGAAACCATTTGAGAAACAAGCTCTGGAGTAGTCTAGAAAATATGAAGCCAACATGGTTGAATACAGAAAAACCAGTGGGGTGCTGCTAGCAGTGTGCCTGCTCCCAAAAATGTTGTTGCTAGAATGGAAGAAGATAAAGATGAGGAGGATGATGAAGAAGAGGAGGATGAAGAGGATGACAACGATGAGTAAATCTTTAGCCTCAAGATACAAGTGTTGTGTGTAAAAATATATATATGTATATATATATACATTTCTGAGTGAGTGTATGTGTGTGTGTGTGTGTGTGTGTGTGTGTGTGTGTGTGTGTGTGTGTGTGTATACATTGTTTCATATGTTATGCGCTTGTTGTTTTCGGGAGTTCTACAAAGACAATGTCAATTCCTAGATTGCTATTTTCAACACTGTTAATTGGTGAGACAGTATCACCCAGCGTAAGGCTTTAGATTTGACTCAATTGTGTAATTTTATGAACACATAGAGTCTTCTAGCTTTGGTTATCCCCACTGTAGCCGTATATTTAACACATTAACTGTGTTCATACTACATATTAATTCCCGCAGTTATTGCGATCCATTTTTAAAATGTTCTCTCCCTCCCCCCCCCCCCCCTTCCCCCACTCCCCCCCTCCCCCTTCCCATGCTTCATTGGGATCCAGTCAGCAGTTTTAGTGTGACATAAACCCTGTTTCAATGCTGTCAAAGTAAATTGGGGAAGGATGTGATGCCTATGTTTTCTGTCGATATTCGAGCCTGATCAGTACTGGGACAACCAATGCACATATTTTTTACATGTCACAAATTTTTGATGCCAGTATTAAGTCAACTAGGCTGACACCCAGTTTCCTGCCACCACTGGACATTACACATGTCTGATTTTCATATTTTCTTCCACAGTTTATTTTAAAGTCATTTTTCTGGGCTACATTATGATTATCAAAGTCTGAGTGTGGAAAGTCTGTGTCTGCAAAAGTTTTACATAAGCATTGCAAGTGGGGATATAGGTCAGAATTACTAATGGCCTGAAATTCTTGTGCAATAATCACCCTGTGACTCAGGGATGTGCAGGAAGCAAGTGGTCCCATTCAGTCTTTTGTTTATATCCTCCTTGTCCTCCAGCTGTATTTGTGCTTGTATTTAGGTGTACTTTTCTTTTTATCTCCTTAAAATTGGTTATGGTAATGACCAGCTTTGTACAAATTTTTAGATCAAAATAGAAAGATTTGTATATTGTTTTGCTTAGAGAAAAACCAATTTTTTTTCTCCCTTCATTAGTCTATTTTTAAAATGAGTTAATATGGAAATGAGGAAATAGTCACTAAAAAAATTGCCTGGCCTTTTAATGGTTTTAAAAGCTGTAAATATGGGGAAGTGGCCATTTAGAGCTAGATTTCATGAGCATACACCTGCCAAACGTACAATGAGTGAATAGACTTCAGGTGATGATTTATTAAGTGTCAACATGCACATTTCTTGGGACTGAAGCAGTTAGGGATCCAAATCATGACAGTTATATCTTTCTACTGTTGAAAAATGAGTTGGCTATTTTCATTGATTGTGTTCTCACTGACTGGAAGCGTAAATCATGGTTAGAAGCATGCAGGACTTCAGTAACATTTTTATTTCTGCCATTCAGCCACTTTAACTCTTTGAGTCCCAAGGAACGCATTATACGTTCATAGGTTCCTACCTATTGTTTTACGCCGATTGTTTTACTTTCTTTACTACCCCCTGGGTCTGTGACGCTAAACCCCCTGTTAACCTAGTCACATAATTTTTCAGTAGGACGGGAAAGAAGTCCTCGCAGCATGTGTGAATAATGGTTGAACTGGAGGCTGTGAAAATGAGATACGGTTATGTGCAGAATGGTCTTATGAATTATTTTATTTTTTCGCCATATGCACCCCAGGGAGTTATTTTTAATCTGGTATACGTTAGGTTGATGTTTTCACCTTTTTTAGACATCTTTATCTGTATACATACCTTCTTTTTCTGTTTGATAATTGTTAATTGCCTCATTGGCATACCATTTTTTATTAGAAATCATCTCACACGTTTTGGTTTACTGGTTTTCATAATCATCATATTGCTGTAGTATACAAAATGAACAAAGCTTTTTCAATGAAGCTCGTCTAATTTTATTTATGACTTACGATGACTTTTTAATTCATGCATTAAAAATATAAATGTCCAATAAAAAGTGTTAAATGTTTTTTTTTTAATATATATATATAATTGTTTTTATTATTATGAAAAAGTTACTAATGTCAACCTCCCCCCCCCCCCCCCCCAAATCGAAAACTAATATTGATAATTAAAGTCACACAATAAAACATGGTTAACAAAAATTGAAGATATTATACACACACAAAAGTAAAGAACTATAGGATTGCCATACAGATGTAACTTTCAATAGACTGATCTGCTCACACACAAAATTCTCTGAAGTAATTAGATATAGATTTCAGTGACTTCCTGCTTATCAAAAAAGTGATATATTGTGATGAGAATTACTATTCATTTTAAGCCAACTGAAAGGGTTTATTCCTTGCAATACCAAGAAACTTGTGCATTTTTATTTGTCAACGTCATTCAAGTGTGTGAAAACTTCAAACCTATGTATCACTAAACACACTTTTTAAGAGCATATATTCTGTGAGCAATAAATTACAGCTTGATGTATGCACTGATGAATGAACTTTCTCATTGACCACTGCCGGAGTGGGTAATCAACTAAAATGCTGGTCACAATTATGGTTGTGAAGACAGCTTCAATGTGCAACTAACAAGCTTACATAGGAAATAATCAGCATCATCTTACTTCCACTTCCATGAGAAAAGACTAAGTGTTGATGGACTTGTTCTGAGCTTAGTGATGTCAATATTTAACGCAAATTTTAAGCTCTAAGAAGCAAAATAAAGTCTATTAAAAAAAAATGTTTAATGATAAAATATTGAATATATTATAAAACAGGTGCAAACTAGGGCTTGAAATATACCTTTTCACTTTCAGAGTCCAGCGCTGATGTGGCTTCGTCGAGTAGTAGAACTTTTGGGTTCCTCACCAGAGCCCTGGCAATAGCAATTCTCTGCTTCTGCCCCCCACTCAGCTGTGCCCCTTTGTCCCCAACATTTGTGTCATATCCCTGGAAGTATGTACTAAAATTAGCTATTCTTTATTCAAGTTATACTGAAATTAACATCTATTTACACAGGTAATCATCATCTTTATTCATATTTGCCGCAGTGTGTACTTTATTTTTTTCTCCTTTATAACGAGTACAAGCAGTAGAATGTTGGTCAAGTAATCAATGGTTTAATTGAACATTTTAAGTAAATTTGTTTTTATTGATCTGTGCTTTGAGATCAGCTAGGCCCAAACAATGGGTAACAGGAAATTTCCCATGAAGCAAAGGTGTCTGATATTTTGACTAAATCCTCAGCCAAGAGCTTCTTCTTCTTCAGCATTCCCAGCTCTAGAGGTTTATTGCTGCAGATATCACCCACCTCCATTAGTCTCTCTGGTTGGCAGGTGAGTGCTGATTAATCAAAATATAATACGGGACCAAACTAACAGCATGTGCCGGAAAATCATTATGACATGGTCAGGGGTTTTTTAGCTTACTTTACTGGAGAGCTGGAGGGAGGGGGAGCAATCTAAACTTTCCTAAAACTGACCAACTTTATGATAGCCTGCATAGTAAGGCTAATTTAAAACTTAAACTCTGAACAGTTTAAATGACCAGTAATTAAATAACCCCTCCCCCCCCCCTCCCCCCCCCCCCCCCCCCCTAAATTATTCAATGATGTGAGAAACAGAGTAAATGAAACACTGAAGGTATACAATCATTTTAAAACACTGACTCTATTTCACAAATTTAACCAATGGCATAATGTGATCTTTTATATTTGGTCACTAACTACCTAAAAAAATCTGACCACCCTGTTGGTCACTTCCACAGTGTGCTTAACTTCTTAGAAAGTAATTCACTTCTGATTATTCATAGTGATTATTTCCTCCCACTGGCAAATACTGCCAAACTTTATGGAACTGAAAGATGCAGTGAAACATTTTTCCTCTTTTTCTACTACAGTTGTCTGGTAAGCAGCAGATGTTAGTGATCCTGACTTTCTACTTCTCTCTGCCATCTAATATTTTGATGTTGTTATTGTTGACATTATTATTTGGTTCACAGCTGTTGAAGCTTCTCATATCTACTTCCTTGTTTTAAACACAAAAGACATAAACAATAGACTGCATAATTTATTGCCTAGCATATTTCACTTATCTTGTCAGGTGCATACTACAGTAACAGTATTAACCTAACGAAATACATCAAAATATGCTAGGCAATAAATTATTTAGTCCACTGTTCATGTCTCTGTTCAAATTAAAAATTGCTTTGAATCTTTTTCTTTTTCTTTCTTTGGCTCTTCCGCCAAGTATTCTCCCTCCATATAAGCTTTCTCTATTCCATTTCTTCTGTTGATACATCCAATACATTTCCATACATTTCAGACATTTTAACAGATATTACCTGAGGTAGATTTGAAACAAAAGTATGGATGTTGGCATCTTTTGCTGCTTGAATGATCTCTGGCATTGAAACAACTCGAGAGGTGTCACCATAGGCAATATTCTCTGCGATACTGCAGTCAAACAGTGTGGGTTCCTGAGATACAATTCCCAGCTGTCGTCGATACCATTTCAAGTTCAGCTGCCGAATATCTTGACCATCTGCTAGCTGAAGAATGAAAAGTAAAATTTTTATGACAGGATTGTTGCATTTTGTTACTGTTAATTGTATTATTGCCATTACATTAATGATAACTGGGTATAACTTGTGAAGTACACCACTATAAAATATGCAAATTTACTGATCGTAAACAGCATCCTGTCTCAAAAGCTGAGGTAGTCTGGCTATGTTAAACATTAGTAGGGCCTGGGGGAAAAAGGGTGATAAACGGTACAGTTTCTGAAAAACAAAGCAGAGTGGATAGAAGACATCACAGATGAACTGCCTATGAAAGCACAGAGGACTAGAGAATTGGCTGAGTTAGACTTTCAAGTGTAATGTGATGAGAGTGACATTATTTAAACATCCTGCTGAATGGTGATGATCAAAGACACTTACCAAAGCACCAGAGTGTGCGTCATAAAATCTCTCTACAAGCTGTGTAGTGGTGCTCTTTCCACAACCACTGGAACCAACAAGGGCCACAGTCTCTCCTGGGTTTATAACCAAATTCATGCCATCAAGAACGGTGGTATTGGGACGAGTAGGGTATCTGAATGTGACATTTGTTACATTGATACTGCCCTTGAAGTCAGCCTATAGGATAGAAGTGAAATACACACATAAAAATTATTGTTTGACTGCATAAACTAAGGCAACATTTTACAAAATTAAAAAAGATTTTATGATATCTTTCTTCGTCAACTGAGATGAGAAATGAATTCTCAAAAACAGTATACCTCCTGTCTCGATATACAGAAGTTAATCATGGACAGTTAGTAGATTAGGGAAAAATTATCTGGAAGCTGCGGAGATGTGGTTTTATAGATGAATGATGAGAATCCCAAGGACAGATAAGAAAGAGTAATGAAGATTCTTAAAAGAAAACTATATATACTTTGTCACAGGGGCACTTGCATGGCTGACAGAACAGCAAGCAACTCATGCATTGATAGTGACAGATTCAATGAGTATGCCTAAGGAGATATAAACTGGCAAACTCCGACTAGAATAGGTTGACAACATTCAGAAGTTCCCGCCACAAGAAATATTTTGGCTCTACACATCGAGGACACGTCGGGGTGAAGGGAAATGAAAGAACTGACAGATTGGTCATGATAGTAGTGGTTGGTGGAGAAAGATGTATTGACAGTGTAGACATACTTGATGCAGTTGAGTAAGAATGAGTCAAGAATTAACATAACAGCACTTGGGGCATTCCCATATGCGCTTCGTCCCCATCCTCAGCAGCCAGCGCAGAGTTCCAATACAAATGGTGCTGGTCGTAGTCTGGTTGTATGTCAGTCTTGCCTTTCCTCTGAGGGTAGTGTACCGGCCAAACAATCTTGTCACACCCAGGTGCATCATTCTCTCCAGCCCATAGTAAACTAGTTTTTCTTCTGACTTCGTTACTTGTTCCCAAAGGGCTCCGACCACATTTGCCTTGTCATATATCATCTCTCACTCTATACTTTATGTAATGAACTGCATGTTGGAACTAGGTATTAAATAAAGACAAGCATGTAGAAACTGGTTGCGTGGAAAACAAAGATATGCATACTCCTTCTGAGTACTCTGAGCATAGTGACACTGAGATGGCTGTCATATCCGAAGATGGAGCATGAGTAGGTTGGACTGATGTGCAAGGATGTTGATACTGATTGATACTGACAACAAGTAACAAGTATCCACGTCTTTTTTTTAACCATCTACCATTCACTGGAGAGCTGTCCTTACATACTTGTCACAAGGCATTCAGCAAAAATGTCTAAAATATATGGACATAATTAATTCCCTGTCTGTCTGTCTCCCCCCCCCCCACCCCCCCCCCCCTCCTCTGACTTTCTCTATCTCTCTTTGCAGAGCAAATGGCCGTTGCTAACAGATTACACAAAAGCATAATCATAATTCTTGCTTATGAACTGAATAATGCAGTCCAGAAATGAACCAATATCTTTCAGTGTGAGAAGCAAACAGCCCGAACACCTTGTCATGAAGATTTCCCTTTATCTGTTTGTAAGTAAATCCACAACTTACAAGTGTCTGTCCACTTTCCTCTCTGACATCAATTTTGGGTTTCCTGTTAATCAGCGCAATGATTCGAGCAGCTGCCAGTTTAGCTTTTGTGTAATCCACACCAAAAGATGACTGTCGACCGACCACCATCCCCCCAAATATGATGGCTGAAAAAACTCTGAGGAAGAAAATAAGTATGCATTTATGAAAATGTCAAACTTCAGTCTACTAACTCTCTCTCTATACCAAAAACTCACCACGTGTTTCACATTTCTTGGTGTTTCCAAAGATGCATGAAGCTCTTGCTGTCTACGGTCACAGACATTTTTTAATAATCAACTATTACACTAAGGTGAACAAAAAATCCAACATGTAAATGAAACAAGTGTTAGTAAGATTGTCTAATTATTCACAGTTATAGTTTATTTCATAATCACAGCTCAAATCAAAGCAGTGTGAGAAACACTGCAAATTACATAACGGGCATTTACATAATTATGTGACACATAAAAATAAAATAATAAATGTATACTCTGTGAACTCAATTAACACTATATATCCTAATTACAACTCTGAGGGTTGAACAGGATATTTTTGAAAAATTGCTACTACTACGACTTATTTATATTACCAGTTTTTTACAGGAGAGATCAGACGCAGACCAACTCATTTGGAGGCAGACAGTGAAAAATGAACTATTGCATTTTGAAAGAAGCAAAACACAGAAAGCTATAGATCAAGAGGAGATGTCTGGGAAAAAACAGCCTCAGAATAATAGACTATCAACAATTTTTTCTTGACTATGTGACAGACTGCCACTCCACACTGCACTGGACTTTCCAATCATAGCAGACGCTGTTTCCACAAGCAGCGGCACAACTCCATGGTCCCCAGGGACTCATAGTTGCAAGGAGGGGAGTGGTTCAGAGAACCAGAGGAAACATCTGACTTGTGTAGGGTCATGATCACAATAAGCTGGGAGTGCAGAGAGGGAAGAGAAGAGCCTGGGGGTTTGTAGCGAAAGCCAATGGAAAATCTTTGGTGCAGGACAGCCAAACGTATGATACCACAACATCTAGCATGAGAATGGAAGTGGGGGCGGTCACTGCAGTTTTCTGGTGGCTAGATAACAAGATGCATACACAAGCTTCACTTGGAAGGTCACGGGTAGTGAGCATACTTTAGATCTTTTTTCCAGGCTATGCTGGCATGGTGGAGAATGAACAGGCAGACAGCTTAGCTGGATCTGCACCACTTGGTGGTGAATCGATACATGTCAAGGCAGATGTGGTCAAGGCCCTTTGGATACAAATAACGAAGTCAGAAGAGAAACTGATTATTTTGGCCTGGAGAGAATGATGCACCTGAGTATGACCAGAGGGTCTGGCCGACTCATTGTGCTCAGAGAAGAGGCAAGGCAGACATATAACCAGACTATGACCAGTACCATTAGTATTGGAACACTGCGCTGGCTGCTGAAGATGGGGACAGAGCCCATATGGAAATGCAATCTTGACTCAACAACTCAACTCAGTTCAACTTGTTCAGACCTAAGCTCAACTCTCCAAGATATAAGTAGCTAAAGCAAAAACCTATTAGCACTGTATGAGTAACTTGATCATTTTGTGTGTGGAAGAAATGACATATCTTGCAATGAATGAATCAATCAATCAAGAACTGACATCTCTGTACTCAGGACATTCCAACACATTCTCTGCCCCCCTTTTTCAGTTGCCAATGAAGAGTTGACATGCTAATAGTTCCAGCTGCACCTGATTAAAAGTCTGCCTCTGTTTCCCCCTCAGTGTTGAATATCTTCCAGAAGCTCTACTCATCCCCCCTCCCTTTTCCGTTGAATCTTGCAATGACATTCTCTGGCTTTATTCCAACATTTCTACTGTTTCCACATTTCTATTAAAAGTAAGTACACTTTGAAAGATTAAACTGAAACATAATAATTTTTTTCTTTTTCTTCTTCTTCATTGCTTTCAACAGTTATGTAATCCTGTCATACCCTTTGTGGGATGCAATTTTTCGTTATTTGAAGCGCTACTCTGGCTCTTGCCAGGGGCCGCAATATAGCCCGGCCATAAATATGGTCTAATGGCTAAACGCAGTTTCTGGGACCTCTCCAAGGATGATCCTCATCCACATGGTGGCACTTTGTGTCATCAGGTGTTTATTATTGTGTCATGTCCTGGTGGGGTAAAAGAAGATCGATAGATAGATTCACCAGTTATCAACTCATGCTGTAAGCCCTGGTTATCCATCAAATTCTTGACTTTGAGTATGTTTTAGGACTTAAGCTTTGTCTGCATACCTATTTTAAGATTTGGCTTATCTGTTTGCAGATTGTTCCTTGCCTCTCAAGTAGATGCACTCTGACTTTGAAGGGAACTTCGATCCTGTCTACACTGGCCAGGTCACTGGTAGGGAATCCATTTCTAAGATGACCGCAGGGAGACAGGTCACTGGTAGGGAATCCATTTCTAAGATGACCGCAGGGAGGCAGAAATAGATTTTGATTTATGAGCTTTGATCCTATTGCACCAACTTGCATAGTTCCATCATTTCTGTATTCTGAAATGTTAGTTTATGTAAACAAATTCATCTTCTAAACAATTACTTGAAGATATTGCAAAAGTTCACATTTTACATGAATGAAAGGTCTAAGGAAGACAGTTACCTGAAAACTTCATAGAACTCCATCTCCCCTTCCTGCACTAGGGTAGATCCATAATAAAATGCCACAGCATATGCAAAGAAGATGATGCAGTTTGAAATTCCATAAGTAATTCCAAATATTATAGACATTTTCTTGTTTGACCTAAGAAAGAGAATTATTTTTTTTTACTAGCAATTGTCCAGGTTTCTAATCAACATTAAAATAAAACTTGTACCTGTGTTTATACTTCTTTTATTATTTAATAATAATATTCAAACTATTAATATGTTCTTTATTTATTTGTTTGTGGGATTTTCTTTCTACCAAATGAAAAATGTTTATTCATATTATTATCATATCAAAAAAGGCACTACAAAAAGTATAGAGCAAGAAACAAATAATTAATTATTACTTTTTTTTTTTTATTCAAAGGAAGTGTCTATAATTAATTTTTTTGTTAACTACTGCTTCTTCAATGGTGTTTGCATAATGTTTTTGTGTATGACTGAAATATCACCATCACATATGAAAAATGCATAATTAGATATTGATGCACAGAACAAATTTAGAAACTAATAACTTTTTAATTTATGAAATAATTATCTATTAACAAAAGCTAGTTGTGTGTTGTTTTTTTTTAGCAATCTAATAATTTTTCCAACAAGTATTTATAACAGTTTGCATATTTTTGGACCTTTAATTTTACTTAAACAGAAAAAGATCTATAATGTATTTTGTTTTACTAATTTCAGTACAGAAAGGAAAAGTGTAAAATATTGAGGTTTTTATTTAAATTTTTATTGTAGCATTAGTTGACAGGAACATAACTAATGAGATTATTCTTAAAAAATTCACTAAAATACTCACGATTTTGTAAAGTCAATGAGCTCATCAAACAATTTAATGAAGTGTGGTTCCCGGCTCAGTGACACGACCGTACGGATTCCATCTACAACTTCTGAACATATCTGAAGCAACAATACACATGACACGTTTGTAAATACTGCAGATATAACATGAAGATTAACACTGAAAATAAAAATGGTAAATATCTGTATGTTTTCAAAATGCTGCATCAAGGGTGACAGTGAAAATGCTTGGTTTATGTCAAAAGTACTTTACATTATTACTTTGAATGACAGAAACATACATTATGACAATTGATACTACTGAAATAATACTCCTGTCTATGTTCTGGGGCCCCATTGTATGGTAATAGACCCACTGCCTCCCCAAAAAGCATCTTGTAGGAATTAAATAATTGGGGGGGGGGGGGCATCATTTGAAGTCAGATTGCATCTGCCTGAGAGGCAAGGAACTAACAGTCTGCATACAAATAAGCCAGATCAGTACACATGTACATGCAACTTTTAAGTTTAAGAAAAAAGACCAAAATTAGGAGGTGGACAAACAACTAGAATTTTTCGGTGAATGTAAAGATAAATAAAAATTGGCAGTACAAAACATGGCATGTAGAATGAAAGTCAGATATTCCACACTATTCTGGTAGAATGCAGTCATCCTGCTTTCTTGTTTTGATGTTTTATTTAGCCCATATTATTATCTCTGTACCTAAAATAGGCTCTTCCTGTTTCTATTTTCACATTTCTATTCCAAAAAGACTTCTAGGTGAGGTGATCAAGACATTTTCTTGCCCTCTGAAGGTCACCTATGTGTTTCACTGACTTTGCCATTCAGTTCACAAGTACAGATTTACTGCAGATCCCTCTGGTTTTTCCTTAAAGCTAGAGATTTGCTGCCACCAACAAGCTTGTCATTCAAAGGGACTAATTAGAGATTTGCTGAAATCAGATCTGCTGACCAGAAAGATGCTGATACTGCAGGCTAGCTGTAAATCACAACACAATGTGCCAAATGCTTTTTTAAGGGCCAATACCAGCATCACAGAGACAGTTGGAATAAGATACAGACAAAGAATGAAATAGTTTGGCCATCTAGTGAGAATGCAGTCAGACCAAACTGTATATGATCGTTTTTATTTACAGCAGAACATATGAGAGGAAGGTGAAGGGAAGAGCAAGAAAGAAATGAAAAAAATGGTGTAGATGAAACCTGCAAAAAGATCAACAAATCCATCACCTAAGCCACATGAGAAGTGCAAGATAAATACAGAAATCACAACACTGGGCTACAACCTGGTAAAAGTGAGACCCCACACACACACACACACACACACACACACACACACACACACACACACACACACACACACACACACACACACACACACACACACACACACACCTACACACACCCACCCACACCCACACACCCCCATTACCCCCAATACACACATACACCCGCCCCTCCTCACACCCCCCCCCCCCCCACACACACACACCAAAGAAGAAGAAGTTGAAGGGCAAACACAGAAGACCAGTCAATACTTACTCTCCCTGCCTGTTGTAATTGTGCCCTGTCCTTTTTGGCTGCACCTGCAATAACTTGACCTTGGACCACACCTGCGGCAATCATCACTGGCATAAATGAGATAACCACAAATGCTAGCTTCCAGCCATACACAAAAGCTATCACGATTGCCGTACCTAGTGTTGATGCTGCTTCCAGAATCTGCCCAACTTTGGATCCTGTAGCCTGTAAAGGACAGTTACCGTACATTATGTTATTTACCATGAAGAAGTGATCACTATGTATGTATGTATGTAAGTTGTACCCCACCAGGACATCACACAAGCAATAAACACTCCATGACACAAAGTGCTACCATGCGGGTGAGAATCACTGGAAACACCTGTTCAGCTGTTATGCCACATTTAAGGCCCGGATATATTTAGGGCCTCAGCAAAAGCCAGGGTAGGGCTTCAAATAACTAAAAATTGCATCCCACAAGGGGATGACGAGATTATAACTAGTGTGATCACTGAATTGTTTAATGACATGAAAGTAACAATAAACAATCCTGCCTTGTGCAAACAAAAAGAGCATGTAGTAAATTTAAAATTTATGTGGTAATTATATAACTTTTTTGAACTTCTACCTGGTGTGATGTATGGCATGATAAGAGAAGACCATTGTGAATTGTGTGTATTTCAGTGGAAAGGATTCAATTTTTATGCTTCATTATATGATGATGCAACTCTGTAGTAAATTAACAAATACTAAATGAAGTTATCAAAATGATTACTACTTAATTTAAACAACTTGAGAATGTTTCCATGTTTAATGTAGATTTTTTCCATTTTTCAATGTTTCAGGTAGGATACTCTCTAGTTTGTGTTTTTTTTTTTTTTACCAAACCACATAACATAGGATTTTTAAAAATATGTCTGCACATGGTTGGTTTGATTTGTGAAGGGTCACTTTACTTCCTCTTTTATATCTCCAGAGTGCTCCAATTTCCTCTTTTAGATCACACAATGAGATTCTCAGCACTTGCACAAACTATAGTACCAATTAGGATCCAAATGTTTATGTATTAGAATGACACTTGCTATAAATAAATGTATTTGTTGTTAATGGCTTCATGCAATGAATGCTTGCAAATAGCAGCTGGGAAAGTATTTGCCATCATTTCTCTAAGAGTTAATTTTATGTATTAATCTCAAGTATAATCATGCATAAAGTTTACAGGGTATCGCTATAAAAATGTGTTCCTTGATAAAGTTAAAATTCAGGACAATAAATGTATTTTTGTTCAAAGAAGTAAATAAATGCAAATAAGCCAACGTTTCATCAACTAGCAGACGCAGATTAGCCATAAGCTGTACACCCATGTTGTTGTATGTCTGAAGAACAAAGATTCCTCTAAGACATGCAAATTACTTCATCCCAAAAGATAGATTACGCTTAAAAAAACAGATATATATCAACACACACAAAATAACACTAGATAATTTGCTTTGTCGGCATCATCTTTATCAAGTGCCTTGCCGACTGGAATGGGCCGTCATGCCTCCCTGGAACCTGCAATTACATGTATCAGTTCATGTGTTGATTTACTTCCATGCCATGACAAAAATTTGCCAAGAATCTTCTTATATTATCTTCCTCTGTCACTCTTGCCACATATTTTTTCATAGTGGTCACAACGTGTTCCAGTTTCCCCCTTTCTCATAATAAAACCAAACATTTATGACCGTCTCTTTCTGATGTTTGTAATAAGTTGTCTTCAAGCCCTCACTTTTTTCCAAATGTCTTGGTTGCTCTTTTTGGCTGTCCAGGGAATTCTAAGAATTCTTTTGTAAACCACATGTAAAGTATGAGGCAGACTAAGAAAATTATGGAAAGACATCATCAGAGAAACTGTACAAAGCAGCCATGTATTTATGGTTAAGGCAGCCAGGAGAGCAAAATCCATAACCTTATAACTTCCCTAACACCTAAAACAGTAAATGAGGAGGTGAAGAAAAGGGAGACCACAGAGTAGGATACTTCTATCCTTAATCACTCAAGCATAAAACAAAGGACTTACCCCCTGGACCATGGATGCATCACCAGCCAATCGGGTTGTAAGAGCTCCAACTTGGTTGTTGGGTAGATCAAAATACTCCATGTCCTAGATGTGGATTTAAAAAAGAAACTATAAATTCATTTTACATTCCAGTCGGTTGTGTAAGTTGGTCTTCATTTCTTTATGGTTTTTTGTGATGATGTAATTGCATCTTCTGTGTGATCCTCCCCTTGGTCAGTGCTCATTATGTTTCTTTAGTGTGGCTCTCTGTGATAGTTGAAACCAGGGCATTCTCACCAAATGGCCAAACCATCTCATCTGTTGCTCTTTAATAAACTATCTTCTTTCTTCTTATTTGTTTGTGTTGACTGGCTATGGCTTCCATCCATGTGCCCAAGCTATCCAGGTATATTTATTTCTTTATACACAGATGGGTCTGTAGAGAGAGGTAAGAAGAGTAGGTGGGGTTTTATTGCCAAGATGAATGGATTCTGTATGAAAACAGTCTCTTATATAATGTCCCAAAATCCAGCATGAAAATAGAGGTGAAGACAGTAAAGGCAGCATTCCAATAGCATGAGAGCAACACAGCCCTACATGTGATGGTAACGGACTCACAAAGCATGCTTCGGAAAACTAAAACCAGTTTCCTAAATGTAGACAAGCATTCTATTGTACCAGCCATAATGTCTTTATGCCATCAACTGCAAGAGATGTGGCATGAAATACATTGGTGAAACAGGTCTACGGCTGGCTGACAGGTTTAGGCCAACATCCTTTGGATGTGCAAAATGGTGCTCTGAAACCAGTAGCCATTCCAGCGACAGAGTCTGCAAGTCTCTTGAGAATTGCTTTATTTATACTCTGGGGACTTTAACACCCACCGACTGAATTGCCAACACATTTTCATTTAAACTCCCAGGGGATTGAACTGCATTCATAGTTTTATCTTTAACCCCCTAGTTATGGCCCCTGGTACTCCACATGGAGTATTTATCCCCCAGCCGACACATGTAGGTATTCTGCTGAGAAACCACTGACCCGGCTGCTTCGAGATACGAGCTAAGTGATTTTGTGTATCTGTGTAGTATTGCTTGATTTGTATGTGCTGATGAAGGCTCCATAGCCGCAATGTTCATGTTTTGTTTGTATTTGTTTTATTGTGAAGCTTGCTAATATACTTTTCATTAGGTTTTATATTTTTTCTAAATGTAGACTGGCTCGCATCACTTGAAAAGTCTCAGATCAGTAGCATGTCATGGATTTTCCGTACAGGATATGCAGGGTAATAAGTAGGCTGATAGACTGGTTGCTGTTGTTCTTCTATGTGGTGAGCTACTTTGTAAAAAAAGCAGACATGGTGAAGGCTCTCTGCAATCAAATGGACAGTGCAGTAGAACAGACTAAGAATCCACACAGTGTAAGACTAATTCAACAGGGTGTGAGTAGAAGGTATGGACGATATTCAAATGGAGCAGCAAATAAGGAGAATTTTTAATCAGGTTTCAACTGGTACTACAGGTATTAGCATGTTGACTCTTCACTGGCTTTTGAGGAAGGAGACAGAGCATGTGTGGGAATGTCCCGAGTGCAGTGATGTCACTTCTTAATTCCTTCTTTCTTTCATTCTCTTTGCCTTCCTTTGCTCTTCTTCCATACATCTTGTCAGTGACCAAATTCTTGAGTTCATTACTTCCCCTAACATGTCTTGGGGGGGAAAAAACACCTATTGTCAGTGTCATAATTTTCTAACCAGTTCATGACATTTATCCGTCTGGAGGAGAACTGACTTATTTGTTTTTAAATAATTCTATGACAAAATGGCTTTCTTATCAAAAACCGCATCTCTGTTGTAAGTAAATGTTTTTTAGCTTGTCTGTTTATTTTCCATGTCTCACGTGCATACGTCAACACAATTCCTATTTAGCACTCTAAAACTCTGTGCAATATCACTGATATCCATCTCATATATATGTAGAAATCTAAGTAAATTTTCATATGAAGGTAGACATGTAATTTCAAAGGCACAAGACATGATAGTTTGCTGGAAAACTTAAAACGGCCTTTTAGATGTGGATTTCTTGTCTTTTCATTGGCATGGACATCCTAAGTCAGCCAAGCCTAAAGATACTAGAAAATGGTCCAGTAAGTAAAGGCAGTTTGTACATTCCATGTTCCAAATCTCAAAAGTCCTTTAACGTTCCAGGTCTATTGTCCGTTTAAATCTATCAAGATGGAGACGATGAAGAGATAATATCCAGACAGACCTGCAAACACTTGGTGTTACTAACTGGAAAGAGAAGGCCAACCAGAGAGATGAATGGAGGCGGGGGATATCTGCAGCAATGAACCTCAAGGGCTCGGAATGCTAAAGAAGAAAAAGAAAAAGAAGAAGAAGAAGTAAAGGCAGCCAGTATGATACTGACAGATTACCACTGAGTGTCAACCGGTCCAAAATTATGAGGCTAACACTATATACCCAGTGTGCATAATGGTGTTAACAGGAGCTTCACTTTTCATCTTGGAAATGACCAAATTTGATCTGTACAGAGTCAAGGATATAAATTCTTTTCTTAAACAGTAATGTGTCGTACCTGATTAACCATTGATGTGAAAGTCAGCTTCCGTAGTCGAGCAGTCAGATATGCTCCTGATTTGCTAAAGCAGTATCCCTAAAAAGAAGACATTTCATAAACAGATAAATTAAAGTTGACCTAGAAAGTGAGCAGAATCATAAATTATAAATCTTCGGGGGGGGGGGGGGGGGGGGGGGAACTAGTAATTGTTTCAGTCTGAGAAGCTTGTGCAGGGTATGGGGGGGGGGGGGGAGATAGTAATTGTTTCAGTCTGAGAAGCTTGTGCAGGGTATGGGGGGGGGGGGGGGGGGGGACTAGTAATTGTTTCAGTCTGAGAAGCTTGTGCAGGGTATGGGGGGGGGGGGGGAGACTAGTAATTGTTTCAGTCTGAGAAGCTTGTGCAGGGTATGGGGGGGGGGGGGGGGGGGGGGGAGAAAGTAATTGTTTCAGTCTGAGAAGCTTGTGCAGGGTATGGGGGGGGGGGGGGGAGACTAGTAATTGTTTCAGTCTGAGAAGCTTGTGCAGGGTATGGCGGGGGGTGGGGGAGGTAATTGTTTCAGTCTGAGAAGCTTGTGCAGGGTAGGGGGTCTAGTAATTGTTTCTCGTCAGGGGGAAGACTAGTGTTTCAGTCTGAGAAGCTTGTGCAGGGTAGGGGGGGAGGGGGGGAACTAGTAATTGTTTCAGGGTTTGGGGGGGGGGGGGGAGACTAGTAATTGTTTCAGTCTGAGAAGCTATGATTCATGTCCCTCCTACACACATCTTTATATTACAGTAGAGGTTGGCCTTGACATCGTCTATCCACTGTTAATTCACCATAGAGGTTGTACTTAGGGATTCTGCCATCCTCCATTCTCCAGGTGTGATCCAGCCACCTGGACCTTAATAGAGTGAGCACTGAGAAAACTGTTGCAATACCTGTTCTTTCAAATACATCAGTCGTAACGGTCGTAATGAAAACATATCACTGGTAGACCGGTTCCCACGAAATCCACTGTGACTCTGGGTAAACCTGGTCTCCTAGGATCTGGAGACTTCACAGAACAATTCTCGCAAGCACTTTTCCAACAGTACACAGCAGTGTTATTCCCCTGTAGTTATTGCAGTCACTCCGGTCACCCTTGTTCTTGTACATAGTTATGATGCTTGCGTCTTTGAAGTCTTGCAGAACCTGTCCCTCACACCAGCAGAGTGTTATTAGCTGATGAATGTGTGGGGTTAGTATGTTTTTCCCACCCCTGATTATTTCAACAGGAATTTCATCTCTGCCTGGGGCTTTCCCAGAAGCCAGTTTATCAGTAACATTGTTGGTTCTACAACTGTTGGAAATGTGTCCAGATAGTTAAGAGTTGGCAGCGTCTTCATGACATTAAGAACACCATCTGTTAGTTTAGTATTAACTGAGTATAGCTTCACCCACCTATCTAGTTGCTTCTTCTTGTCAGAAATAATCCCTCCCTTCAAACTCTTTAGTGATGCACATTTTTTTCATAGTTTTCATAACAAAAAATAACGTCCTAAGAAGGACGAAACTTACGAAGTAAGCAATTTTTCATAGTTGGGTCAATGGCTTTCTTTATCCTCCTCAGACATGACTTTAATATTACCATTAGTGCCAGCATTTTGAAAGCTTTTGCCTAACTGGATCCAGTGGTACACTGTCTTGCTACTTTTTGCAAATGATTTCTAGCTTCTCTCAATTCACTAAGAGTGTTCTTTGTTGTTCTTTGTCCTTGTTTCTGAGGAGTATTAACTTTTTACTGTAAGTTAAGGGCTAGTGTCCGGCTATTTGCTTCAAACCAGTCCTTACTTCTATGTTCTAGACTGATGTAGCTGTTTTGTAGGCAGTCTCCTTAATTGCATCCCATTTCAGGCTTGCTGTAGAGTTATCCTGGATTTTAGTGAAAACATCTTCGAGCTATTGTTGGAACTTAAAACACTTTTCAGGGTTTTGAGTTTCAGAAATATTCAACCTGGAGATTTATTTGTTTCTTGAAGTGGAAATTGTCTTTGGTTTTATCTGGACTGATGTAGCAACGAGGGAATGGTCAGTGTCACAGTCAGCACTGTGGTAGCTGCAAGTTAGTGATACATAATTCAAGCGATGCCTCTTTGTGAGAATAAAATAAATATTATATAAGTATAATCATATATAATAAACACAATATTAAAACAAAGAACCTAGAAACAGAGACAGTACATAATGTGGAAGCTTGCCAGGATCTTAAATGAAGAAGCCCACGGAAACAAAGCCAACACAGCCTTAATAGTAGATAAACCATCACAATAAATACTGTATAATGAAACATTTGTTCAAACTGAGAAAAAAAGGAAGCTTTCAGTTTAGGTTCAAAGCAATCTGTAAAGGAAAGAATTCTTCTGACACCTTGCCTCAGGCGTATAGTTCTAGAACTATCTTTTATAAACCAATTAACACTTTAAGCATGAGGAGGTCACCATGATGCCAGCCACATTTACTTCCCAGGACATTTCCTTGTAGGTGGACCTGGGAAATAGAGTAAATTATAAATATCTGCCCTGCTGCTGACTAAAACCAAAGACCTGGCATTGTAAACACTGATTCTGTATAATCATGCATCAGTATTCTAATTTCTGCACAACTACGACTCCTTTTTTTGTTTAGTGACGAGAAAATGGGCAAGTACCTGCATCATTCGAACAATGGCAGAAATAACAGCCACTCCAATCACAGATCCAGCTAGAATATGAACTTGTTCCCATTGTTCACTTCGATCTCTTATACTGAAGATCTGAAATATCACAATTTATTATTGTCTCCAACATGCACACAATAGTATCAATAAAAGTAAAATAACTGACTATGATTCCTTTTTCTTTCTTTCTTTCTCTCTTTTGCTTTTTAGTATCAGCTTCAGAAGAGAGGACTAGTGTGAGCTATGGTCTGTGTTATGTAAATACTGGTAGTCATGGCCTCTGATATTCCATCAATACATTTGACTTGAATGAGATACCTCTAGCTCTGTTTCTATTGTGTCTAATTGACAGACAGCGCTCTTTGGTGCACAGACTTGTGGTAGTCTTGGCACATGACTTAGCCTAACTATTTGATCTGCTTGTCTTTTGCACTGGTTTCCTCCCAGCTTGTCTCCAGCTAGCATCATTTCTTATCCTCTCTCATTTTGTTACATTTATGATTGGTTTCATTTTTGTTACTTCTATTTTTTTTTTTAAACGTGAGTAAAGTTTTTGTATAAATAAATCCATGTTTATTATTACTCTTTGCTAATCTTTTGTGACTTCATTTAAAGACTGAAGTAATAAATATCCAGAATTTCTCCTAACAAAATTAACACACTCAATTCACTTTACACAATTTATTAAATAATAGCAAAAAGAAAACTAGTAAAATTACAGACTGACATGTGGTTTTTAAAAAAGAGTGCTTACAATTGTGTGGACTATCAACATGAGTAATCCAAATGTTTTGAAAAAAAAGGCCAAGAAACAAATACCTATTATCACACACACTAGAGTGAGGCAGTTGCTATTTTGTTCCATATTATGAGAAGAGAAGAAGTTGAAAGATTTGTAGACAATGCATCAGAGGAGGTTTTCTTCTGCACTCACTTTAAATGGCGACTGGCACACTCTGTTGTAGTTTATAGTTAGGCTGTGATATCTCTTTGTTTTAGCCTATTGAACCAATATCAGCAAACCTCTAACTGGTCAACTTTTATGACATTCTTGTTAAGGGGGCATTGAGTTTATTCTTTTTCTGTTCATATCAAATTTGGGTCCTGGAACTCACACGGGGAGACAGAAAAGGACAATGGGAGACGATTCATGACAGCATTTTGTCATGTTATAGAAATGTATTAGCATTTGAACTAATGCATACCGTTTGAGTATTGCAAGATGTGGCCAAGTTTGATCACCTGCCAGTTGGCAAGGCACTTGATGTTTAATCAAGATTTCATCAAATCTGATATTTAAATATAATTTCTTTTTCTTCGTCTTTATTTTCTCTAGCTGAAAACTCAGGCAGAAAGTTCTGGTTGCTCTGCCACTTCTGGGCTTTAATCTTCTTCCAAAACTTGAGTGTTGCAGGCACATCTGTTTTACAGGTCTGGCTCATTTTTATGCAGACTGTTGGATCTTGGCCTCTCAGACAGATGCACTCCAACTTTGAAGGAGACTCCTAATTAGTTGACTCTGGTGACATGCTTGTTAGGAAAGAAGTAGGTTTATTTTTGTTTTCCTCATAATGGGACCCTGGGACCTACATGGGGAAAATACAATATGTGATTACAAGTAAACAATTACCTTAATAAATTCACTGAGCAGGAAAGAGAATGCTGGGTGAACACCTCCAGCAACAATAGAACCAAAACAGCCAAACACAATGAGAGGCCACTCTGGCGCATTGTAGTGCATGATTTCAGACAATTTGACATCCTCTGCGGTTGCATCAGACACTTCCTTCTGTTTATAAAAAAGATCAATATTTTTAAACAGCTTCACTTTTTTAATACTTGGCAGACTATGTTTTTAAAAATAAAATATGGAAAATCTAGTATAAGGCAGATCTTACTAAGTATATCACAATAAAACACTAACAATCATGTTTCTGTTTTTATTTTTGTCTTTCAACTCCCAAAAGAGCATAGTCCCTCAAAAACATCAAGTCAATTGTTGACATATTCACGATTGGTTGAATTTCATCGCTTAAGTTTCTTCCAAATAAGACAGCCAATTTCAGGCCAACCCTTTGAAGTTGTCTTTTGGCATTCATGGTAGCTTACTGGATGATAGAATCCCTAAGGACATCGTCTATAGGGAATTACAGATGGTTACAAGATGCTGAGGTTGGCCTCTTAAAGGATATAAAAAATTTGCAAACAGGGCATGAATGAGACGTATTGATGAATGATCCCAGGACATGTCAGTGACAAAGTAAAATATGGTTAAAGTAAAACAGGGTGACAGAAAATGTAATGACATGAGCACATAATTTTTCTTCTCTTTCTTTGCATTCATCAGCTGTAAACTCTAGTAGAAAATTCTGGTTGTTCATCCATTTCTGGACTTTGGTCTTGTTCCAGAAGTTGATTTGTGTGTGCAAATAACTAGAATGTCCTTTCTTTGAAAAAAAAAAAAGAACTGAATTAGAGGCAGATAAATACTTTTGGGAGGAATTGAGGGAGCTGCAGGAGATGGTAAAAGATGCATTGGTAGGGAGCCTATGCTCCATTTGATGGTTAAAGAAAAAGCAAGAATATACTGACACACTTTCCAATAACACTTAGTGAACTTTCTAATTTCTGTTCTGTTTTAATTTCTATATAAACATGTACAAATTCTGATTAATTCATTGATAAATCAATAAACTATTTAGCAACAGAAAATGTATACCTTTTCTTCTTTACGAAGCTTTTTATTCCTCCTACGCAGACTGGCCCTAGCAACAAGGCTCACTTCCTTTTCTGTTGACTTTGTGGACTGAACAGAAACAGCTCTTTTGAAAGAAGCACGTAAAAGTTCATCTGCATCTAGCACGTCATCCTCATCTTCCTCTACAATCTCAACATCAGCCATATCTACATTTTAAAGGAGAAAATGTTCCTCATGATAAATACTGTATATCCATACACAAGGACAATTAACAAATGACTAAAAAAAATAACATAATAAATACTGTGTATCCATAGACATAAACAATTAACAAATGACTAAAAAAAATAACATAATAAATACTGTGTATCCATACACATAAACAATTAACAAATGACTAAAAAAATAACATGATATAAGATGTAACAGCTGTCATTTCACAAAAATAGAAAATTAAAAGGAAAAAGAGCTAGAGGAATGAATGGAAACAAGTCAAATATTTTGATTTTGTTTACATCAAAATACATGGCATTTACTCTGACTGACTGGCTGACTGGCTTTTCCCCACCAGGATTTCACACAGAGTGATAAACACCCGGTGACACAAGGTGCCAGCATATGGATGAAGATCACCTGTGGAGAGGTACCAGAAACCCCATTCAGCCGATAGGCCATTTTTAAGGCCCGGCTATATTTAGGGCCCCTGGCAAAAGCCAGGGTGGGACTTCAAAACAACAAGAAATTGCATCCCACGAGGGGACGACGTATATAATTTACCCTGGAGAGAGAGGTCAAAACAAATGAGCAAGAGGGAGACAATAATACAGGTGGATATAGAAATATAAGCGTGAGCTGTAGTAGTGCAGTACTTAGATACCTACCCGGTAGCTAGAAGTTCTTCTATTTGAGTCACATAAAGGCAGATTAATTTTTTTCAAAACTGACCTTGGTCAACCCAGCCTAAAATTGGTACCCGGTACGTTCTGGAAAGTAAGAGCGACCACCGTGATATTCCTCACATTGTCAAATGAGTAACATGAGTCCAGCATCCATTGCCTGACTTGCTACTGGTATCAAACAGATCCCTCACCATTTTTTTTAACATAGAAAACAAAAAAAGCCAAACATTGGTCTGTCAGAATGTTAAGCACAGAGTCAGAGGCAGAAACTATGTGAGTGCAGAGCAACAAATCTTCACTTTGGAACGCATGCTCGCAGCAACTTGCTCGTGACTATCCAGCTAAGTCTTTGACTGGATGAGGTAGCCATCCTTATGTTCCCTCTCTTTAGTCAATCTTACGACACAGATGCATGCTGGGTCGCAGTATTACTAGGCTTTTTCTTTCATGATAGGCAATGGTATGCAGTACTGGCACATTTTTAGATAATTTTTTTCAGCACTTGTGCACAGACACTTGATGGCCAGTACCAGCAGTTTTTGTAGAACTTCATGGTGGGTACTGGCCCCATTTTGTTTAGAAACAAGTCCTGAGCATCATTATTCTTTTCTTTCCTCATAAGCTCTAGTAACACACCGGCAAACAATATGTATCTAATTATACAGATATATACAGCACTACTGTCCTCCATATATATTTGTATTGCATGACCTGGGAGTAAAGCCTGGTGAAGCACATCTATACCACCTTTGAGGCCAAGACAGGAAACACTATAGCCAACTCCTCATGGTAACGATCAGTACCTTGGAGTGGCTACTTATCGGAGGACTGAGCAAGCATATTGATGCCCAGTGTACAGTGTAAAAAGTAAAAAAAGGCTATCAATATACAATCTATAGCACTAATAGATTTATGACAGAAAAGGCTCAATTTTGTGTACCGACAAAGTATTCAAATTGAGTAGAGACAATAGTGAAAGATTACCTATAGCAAAACTAAACAATTTCTGCCACCTACATAAATACATTTTTATATTATATTAATGTGTTTAAAAATGATGAGTCAAGTTCAGAACAAACATCACAGCCCTCAGAACAATCCCATAAGTGCTCCTTCCCCATCTTCAACAGCAAGCACAGAGTTCCAGTTTCCTTGGTACTAGTAGCAGTCTGACTGTATATTTGCTCTGCCTTTCCCTTGAATGCTGGGAAGAGTCAGCCAGATCTGCCAGATCTGCTGGTCACTCTTTAATAATCAGTCTCAGACTGATCAAACCATTAACCTCCTGTGCTGTTATACAGGACACAGGGCTGGCAGTCTAGTTCTTCCTTCAGGTCCATCCTCTTCATAGCCTGGATAGAATCTATTCCAGTGCCATTGGCCATCTCAGCAAGAATATATACTGTTAAAACCCTCCAATTGTGACCCAAAAATGATATCTTTTCTACTGACAAATTACTCAAATAAATGAAATAAGAAAATTTCACCTTTCCCATAAGTAAAAAATCTTCCACATGCACATGTATAAATTAGAGAACTAATTATCTTTAAACAATAATCAAGTAAAATATGAAACAAAAAAAAAATATCATAAGTAGGAAGACATGCAAGTTCCCTATCTCTTATCTACATTCAGTGTACCTGCATTCCCAATTGTAGTAAACTCTTTATTTTATATATAAGTCCCACAAGTGTAATCATTTTTTTTAAAGGTAATTAACCAAATTTGGGTTATAATTAAGAGATAATCTGTCTTTTGTTAGTTAGGAAGCCTTGGTGAGCCGGTGGCTAACATGCCAACCTACCAACTCAATGGTCTTAGGTTCAAATCATATCTTTAGATTTGAAATGTTATTTTAGTTTGAACATATGGCAATGAAATTTTGAGACCAACTAAAGACATGGAGTGGAAGAGGAATGTTTTTGAATTTTTCTGAAAAACAAACGCCTAAGAAACTGGTTTACATAAAATGTGATAAATTTTTTTTTTAGGAAAAAGGGGGAAGGAAAAAGAGAAATGTCTGGACAACTGTTTAGATAAACTGTTGTATGAAAAACATAAAGAGGGCTTTTTATTGAGTACATCATAAGGAAAAGCAGACAGAGTTTTACTTAGCAGGCACTGAAATGGGATGCAAATAGACTGATGAAGTGACATTGTCTAAAAGAAACTCTAAGATGGACAAACAGAATGACTAGAGGGGCTGGACTAGTTCTCATTCAAGGTGTTGAATCCATACAATGGAATGAAGGATGAACTAATAAATGAACAAATATACAAACTTTATTTTGATAGGGTTCAGAATTGGGCATGCAGGCTCATCTGACATTCTGACCATTCTGTCATATATTATTTCATTCATACATCAAGTATTAGTAAACGTTATCAACAGCAGCTAAATATTACAAACAATACTGGAATGTGCACATTTCTAATTACCGTGAACTGTAGTAATTATAATTAATCTAGGGGAAATATGCGCCATTTCTAATATACTTTTATCCAGTATTGGAGCATGTAATCTGTGCTCAGGTAAAATTTGAGCAGTTCCCTATTTGATTTGTCAACACTAGTAGTATTTTTGATTTGTTGTGAAGAATTGTCCCACAGTTGGGCTGTACTTAACATAAGCCACATTTTTAAAATGTCCTTCTGAATAATTTGATACAATCCACCAGCTGTTATTCTGAGCCAGTTATAGAAATGTACTGAACTAGATACTGACATATTCCATGCTGAAATACACGCCTTGGGGGTTGTGAAGATATAGAGGCAGTTTTAAAATCAATATTATGTTTTTATAAAGCTTATTTTAAAGAATATGTTTTGATTTGGTCAAATTTCTCATTACTTAAATGCAAACTTTACAGTCATTTACAGAAATTTCTAACTTTCAAAAGTAATTACATAATAAACTTATATTTCCCAGTGTTGTTATTTCTTTTTTCCTTCTTATCTTTCAGTGTCTGCAAGTTAAATACTGTTTAATTACTGTACAACCCGAGTGAGTGACTTTTAACCCCAACAGGACCACACAATGAGTGTTACAACACCTGGTGGCATAAAATGACACCATTTGGATGAGAAACTCACTGGCACAAGACCCAGAAACCCCCTGGCACAAGACCCAGAAACCCCCTGGCACAAGACCCAGAAACCCCCGGCACAAGACCCAGAAACCCCCTGGCACAAGACCCAGAAACCCCCTGGCACAGGCACAAGACCCAGAAACCCCCTGGCACAAGACCCCCGGCACAAGACCCAGAAACCCCCTGGCACAAGACCCAGAAACCCCCGGCACAAGACCCAGAAACCCCCCTTGGCACAAGACCCAGAAACCCCCTGGCACAAGACCCAGAAACCCCTGGCACAAGACCCAAGAAACCCCCTGGCACAAGACCCAGAAACCCCCCGGCACAAGACCCAGAAACCCCCTGGCACAAGACCCAGAAACCCCCTGGCACAAGACCCAGAAACCCCCTGGCACAAGACCCAGAAACCCCCTGGCACAAGACCCAGAAACCCCCTGGCACCAGACCCAGAAACCCCCTGGCACCAGACCCAGAAACCCCATTCAATGGTTAGCTTCTATTAGGGCCACCGGTGTCAGCCAGGGTGGGGGTTTTTTAATATAACAATGCATCCCATATTGGGGGTGGAGCTAGGTGCAGTGCAACCTTAGTTAGTGAGTGGTGTTCAACTCCACCAGGACAGCACAATAAGCAATTAACACCCAGTGAAACAAAGTGCCATCATTCGTATGAGAATCCAACATGCACAAGTCCCAGAATCCTCATTTAACCGTTAAGTTATACTGAGGTCTCTGACCACAGCCAAGATGAGGCTTTTAAGTAACAAAAATTTTGTTCCACTTTTGGATGGAATTACCACACCTTAAGGAAAAAGTGACAAAAATTACATCTATTAGTGATTAGTGATTAGAAAGGATTATCATTACAGCACTCCAGACAGATCCATAGGTGCTCCGATCTCCTCCTCAAAAGCTCAACAAGTGTAAAATGACTGATGACGCCTGTTCTGTGTTGGTTAATGAGACGTCTTGTCCCCCTAGTGAAATGTTTATTTCTTGCAGCTCCAGGCTGCACCCCCATGTCCATCAGTCTAGACAGGGATATGAAGTCATGTCCTTTGGCGTGCTCCTCAGTACGGATAGTGCAGCTCATAGCATTGATAACATCACTTCTGTCCAGTACTGGGCCAGCCAAAGCAACTGCAGTGTCTGCAAGATAGTCTGCACGCTCGTTCCTTTGAAAACCCGCATAACCTAGCACAAAGATCAAGTTTACGGCAGATATTCGTGAAGTGCTTAGTGTTTCAATCCATTCTTGCCTGACAAATCCAGCTTGGATTTTTGTAAGCATATTCATCGAGTCACTAAGAAAGCATACGTGTGTGAGCTTTTGAGTACCAAACCATGCTAAAGCCCTTGCTACAGCCATAGTTTCCATTGTAAGGCTACTAGTTGTAATAGATGGTTTTCCCCCTTAGGCTTACTGTGAAGGCCCACGCACTTCGCTTGCCCCTAATTACTGACCCATCTGTGTAAACTGCAGCATCACCTTTATCTGTGTTTTCGTCAATCAGTGTTTTGATTAAAGTGTCAACAATGCCAGGAATCTGCTTTCTACAGCTTCCATCAAGTGTGATATGGACCGCAATATTAATGTTTCAAGAGGGAGGCATAATTATTTATTCATTTCCAAAATTAATATCAGTAAGGCGGCAAACATGTTCCATGGCATCCTCAGCCCGACCCATCCAGGATTTGCTTTGTTTGAGTCTACTCTTTTTTTGCTTCAATATTTCCTCATAAAGTGTCAATGGTCTGATTTTACTCTGAGAAAAGCAACAGCCCTGGATAGCTTGATTCTGTTTTCCATTGAGGGGAAATCCAACAGGTATCGCATGGATTTACAGGTGTCTCTAGTGCATCCAAGAATAATGCGCTTTGCCTCGTTTTCAATTTTTTCCTGTCTATTCATCTGTGTGATGCTGAGTGTCATGATGGCCAAAAAATATTCAATTGTGGAGAGAACTAATGTACGATGCAACATTACAAGTAGCCGTTGCTCAAAGTTTGCAGCTCCCATAACTTTTATTGCTGAAGGACCTTTCTTGACTTTGGTTATAATGTGGTCTACGTGTTTTTTAAGTGCTAAGCATCTGTTAAATGTTATAGCCAGGTATTTCATGGAATCAGATCTCTCCACATCAGCACCACAGAGTTTTACTATCGGCATTAGTGTTTTAGAAAGGTAATTATTTAATGAGAACCAGGTGACTGTCGCTTTTGATGGATTAATTGTTGCCCCTGAGGTGTTGCACCAGGATGATATGGGATCTAATTCCTGTTGTAGATCTGAAATAATGTCATCTCTGTCCCTGCCCTGTCAGTACACAAGGATATCATCTGCATTTGATAGAGTTCTTTCTCTGCCACTCAGTTGTTCTCCTGTGATCTTGACTGCGTAAATGTTGAAGAGGATAGGAGACAATGAAGAACCCTGTGGCAAACCAGGGCGTATTGTTATCGGCTCAGAAGACCAACTACCACATCGAAACACAACCTTCCTATGGAAAAGTGCGGCAGATATCCATTGAATGAGATGTGGGGGGATGTTGAGTTCAATTGACTGAAACATTAGTTGGTGAAAGGGAACTTTGTTGTATGTGACACATTAGTTGGTGAAAGGGAACTTTGTTGTATGTGACACATTAGTTGGTGAAAGGGAACTTTGTTGTATGTATCCTCCAATCTATGGCAACTGCACTATATATAGTTTGTGTGTACATTTTAATTTAACTGTTACCTCATACCAAAGCATGATCACTAGATGGGTTAGATTTTCAATTGCTTTTAAGGCTACAATTTGACAGTAACACTGGCAGCCAGGTTTATGCTCATTTCTTTTATTTAATGCAACAATCAGTTGTAGTTCTACCCCTTTGAATATTTCTATTCTCTTACATCCCTTACAATAATTTTAAAAAATCATATTTCTCTGTTACCTCTCTTGAAACGGACTGTAATATAGGGGCATAAGAACAGGTGGTTACTTTCTCAGTCAGAGTTGGGGACTGTCAGCATGCTGAATTATAACCCTGTGTCATGCCCTTCATCACCGCCCCATCATTCCAAAGGATTAGTAAGTTAGCAGTAGCCGAGGAAATGAGGGCATTTAATAGAAACTTAAAGATGGAAGGCTCAAGTTGTGCTCTTTCTTTCATGAAGTTTCTAACACATATACGGCAGCTGTGAAGGGCAAGATGAGGTAGAGGATAGAAAAATAAAACTTTCTTTTATTAATCTTAGTGAAGCTAGGCAATTAAATCTAGTAAATAATAAAAGTAAAACTGAAAATACAAATAAAAACAACAGGGAACATATAAAATAACAAAATAAAATTAGGCACTTTGTATTTTGGGATTACATTCAAATCATGCAGGTTCATAAATTAATTACTTTCATGCATTGACAAGATTTGATGTACATAACATCTTAGTATAATTTTACCACAGATACCAACTTTGTCAAACTATAAAAAGCATCACTTTCTTAGCAATAAAAAAAAAAAGACCAAAAATTTACTTTTATATCAGTGACCATATGGCTCAGGAGGTTGAATCAACTTGACAGAACGAGATACTGGATCTTTTGTTTTTATAGGTAGTCTTGTAATTTAGTACAACAGAATATTATGAATGTCATCTCATAATCCCGACATGCCAGGTGCAGTTTAGCTGCAGGTGATTGGCAGCAGGATATTTTATGTTTATTTTGACAAATATTGAGCATGGACTGCTTAGTTATTATGTCAAACTAACGAATGTAAAATTGCCTAGTAAAACCAAAAATTTGAATAGTCATAAAAGCTAGTTGCGAATCCTTCACAGGATGTTGCAGAACTAACCCCAGCATTTTTTGGCTGTTGTTTTTCTATGCAAATTTATGTCCAGTAGTTTCCATTCCTTTCTGGACAGCCGGCTTCTTAAAACCACTGTAGAAACCAAAGCAAGGCGCAGGTTCTGCAGCTGGGATCAAACCCGGCACCCCGGCATTACGAAGCCTGTTTGGAACGCAAAAGCCACAGACGCCGACGCCTATAGTCACAACTGTCAGATAAACTCTGTTTACTTGCGGCAGAGACAGAATGCCAGAATGGCATAGAAGTTGGGTACTTTCTTTTTACATTTTAAGCAGTACCTGTGAGGATTTGGAAGACAGTTGATCTAACTGAAACATATTTGGGTGACAAGACAAACCCGTAGCCCATCTGGATGTGGATTTCATGCATAGCTTTATTTTGAAACACTTACCTACAAGGCCCCCGACCGAAGTCAGCAGGCATTTGATATAAGAGACTTATCCGTTCCTCGAGAGCAGCTAATATAAATATGTTTTCAACAATGAATGACTACTGGTTAGTAACAGTTTATAATGCCTACCACAAAGGAAAAACAACAAAATGTAACCAGGTACGAATTTCATTATTCCATTGGCTTATAAATAGATATGCCAGTTAACGTTTCAATGTTTCATTATTCTCAGGAGAATGTGCACCACATAATGCACACAGCAAAGGGAAAACAACTACATGTGCACAATAAGGAACATAATTATATCCTTAGCTTATAAATATCCCCATTTATGTTTCATTTATGTTCAGGGAAGGTATACATAATGCAGTCACGATGTGGTTAACTAATATTTTGATTCATTCATCATTTTAAAAGCTTCAGATTACTGGATCATCACAGCCACAGCCACAATAATCACTGACTCCACTAATCAAAGACAAAGATATAAATGAAGAAAAGATCTCCGTTTCCTACCTTTAGGTTTACTGGGAAATATGTTTTTAGCTCATAGTTGCAGACCAAGCCCACACTTGCTGGGTGATGTGGTTCTTTCCAGGACCCCTCCCGATACCCATTTTAAGTTGGGTCGAGCTGAGAGTCCATTTCAGTTCTTCTCAAAGGAGGTTTGAACATGCAACCACCTGGACTGGCAGGCATGTGTGTTAGTGCTGAACTATCACAGCACCCATGCCATGAAGTACAACACCGTAGTACTACTAATTTAATCAGTTATATATCCTGTTCAACCCTCCGGGGCTATAATTGGTATATATAGAGTTTTTCTGCAATACTTTGAAACAGGGTATTTGAATGGCTTACCAGCGCAGTAGTTAGTTTAATACCCAGTTTCTTAGATATTTTGTAAATTCAAAAGGCTGTGAGTTGATTCAGTACTGCTAAATAGCTTCCAGATACTTCTCATGGTGGCAAAAAAAAAAACTGTTCACCTCCACTCATATATGACATGACCTTCGAAAATTTGTGAGTACTTTTACTTTTATCTTCTTCATGTTGGTGTTTATTATCTTTAAGCAGTGTTTTATTTTGTTGCATTCATGTTCTCATAATTTAATGGTAGCTATCTTGTCTATTTTTCTGTAAAATTCTTCACTACAAATTGAAGTTTATAACAATTTGAAAAATTAGTGCTTGATTACAAAACATTTTACTAACTATGATGAAATAATCCTTACCCATTTCTGATTCCTTGCTGAGTCTGGTCTGAAAAACAAAATTATAGCATTATTTATTTATTGTAACTGAAAATGGGTTCAAATAATTTCTATATCTCCTTTTTGTTCATCTGAGACTTAAGTTAATTACAGGCTGGTACAGAAAAAATTATGATAATCTATTGTAATTCATTAATAAAAGAAAGCAGAGATATATTTTTAATATGTATCATTGATGCTTTTCATCAAATAGATTGCCCTGGGCCATAGATACAAATTACACTTGATAGATGGTCATAACAGACAGTAACAGTCAAGTCTCACAAACATCAGAAAGATACAGTCATCAGTATTCTCATGTTATGAGAAAGGGGGGAAACTGGAACATGTTGTAACCACTGGAAAGATATGAAGAAAACGAGATAAGGGAAGACAATGCAAGATGTTTTTTGACAGCCTTTTGTAATGGCATAGAATGGTGTCAACACATGAACGAATGCATGCTGTTGAAGATCACATATTGTGGAGAGGCATGATCAACCATGACAGTAAGTAAGGCGTGATGGTAATAATAAGTTAAGTATTTCAGTCCCCATGAGTGTAACTTTGTTTTAATGTATTTTTTTAGTTCCAAACATTAACTCTTTGCCTTAACCCTGCCCTGCTTAAACTTTTCCAGTGACTCTAAATTTTAAAAACAAAACAATGTCACGGACCTGTAATTAGGGAATTCCTGATTTTAAAAATCCCTTTATAAAATTATTTTAAAAATATTTTACCCAGGTCAGCAAAAAAAATTGTAAATTCATTTTATCAAGCAAAACAATATTACATTCTAATTAGAATTCATTAAACATGAATGCATTCAAGAATTAACTAGGTCACATCCTTATGATTCTAAAAACAAATATTTACAGTAACATATATTTGACCCCATCACACAGTTGCCAGTTAATCTGCGACTGACTAGAAAATAATAGCACCCTTATTTTCTATTAATAAAGCCATTTGCCTCCACAGGAATCCCCTCTAAATGCTATTTTTTGTAAACAAAGTCATCATGGCCCTTGTTCACAGACAATACTAATGCTATAAGTTACAATTAAATTAGCCAGGCATCTCTTGAACAGACAACTTTAGCCATGCCAGGAAAGTGACTGTCTCTAGAAACTGGACCCCAACAGGGCCTGTGTTCTGGTGGGGAGGGGGTGTTGTGAGGGGGTGGGGGGGGGAGGTAATGACAGAAGAGGAAAAATACTCAAATGTCTTCAGACAATTATTTCCTAACTTTTTTATATAATTACTTTTTACCAAAGGAACAGCTGAAAAATTAAAAAGTATACATGCATTTTTATAAGGTACTTTAACTCTTTGAGTCCCAGGGGGTTTAGCATCACAGGCCCAAGAGGTAGTCAAGAGAGATGTAAAATCGGCGCATCATGCATTCATTGGGCCTCTAAGTAGAAATCTATGAACATATGATGCGTTCCTTGGGACTCAAAGAGTTAAGTGTAAAGCATACAAACTGAAGTGATCTGTGATTTTGGTGATCCTGTACCATGGCAAAATCTCACAGCCTACACTTATTGGTATAAACAAGATGAGGATGATGATATGTAACTAGATTTCATTAATTTGTTTCTATTCATTATCCAGTATACTAATAATAGATTTTCTTTCCAAAAATATTTCCCAGATTTTTCATGGCTCTAGTTTTTTTTTTTTTAATTCAACAAAGAATTACTACCTGTATTTGCACAAGTTGATAGTACAATCCTTCTTTCCGCATAAGTTCCTCATGAGTTCCCTGTTCAGCAATCCTGCCATCACTGATAGCCACAATTTTATCTGCGTGTTTGATTGTAGACAGGCGATGAGCAATGGTGATTGTTGTTCTACCTTTCCCAGCCTTGTCAAGAGAGATGAAACATAGAATTGTCAATAAGCCAAAATATTTTTTAGACTCAAGCTACTTCAGATTCAAGTTTGAATATCCTAAATATTCAGCAGGGTTTTTAAAATTACCAGTTGTCCTTCAATAGAGCTACTGGCTGTGCTAATGACACTACTAGTTGATTGGTTGTTTTTTGGTGGGTGAGTTAGTTGGTTGACAGATAATCCTCATTGCACATAGAATAATCCAATTCATATGTGCCTGGATTCCCTTCTCAGTAAATCCACAACATATAGCAGCTGATGACATCAGTTCTATACTGGTTTATTATTTGTCCTTAACTTCCTGTATGGTGCACTTGTCTCACCTCAAGGGTGCCATAACCTGGACGCTCAGACACCTTGAACACCCAAAAGCCTACCTCTAATTAAATTTTTAGATAGAGCCCCTTCACCCCACTATGTGTAGGCATCTTCTATTTAGGCATATTGTTCAAGCAGGCTGATAGGTTGGCTGCTGCTACTCATGGCGGTTAGCTACTATATGATAAAGATGTTGTGAAGGCTCTATTGGAACAGATGGACAGTGCAAAAGAACAGACATGGAATCCAATCACTGAGACACTAATGCAATGGGGGGTGTGCAGAGTTTCTGGAAGATATTCAACACTGAAGGGAAAACAGAGGCTAATTAAGTTGCAATTGGTACTATCAGCATACCAGCTCTTTGTTGGATACTGAAGAAGGAGACAGAGCACATGTGGAGATGTCCTAAGTGCAGTGATATCAATTTTTGATTATTTTTGATTTAATCATTGCTTACTTCCTTCATTCATTCATTCATTCATTCATTTATTCATTCATTTATGCATTCATTTATTCATTCAGTCATGCAACTGTGCAATTTGTACACAAACTGTTCCAAGAATATTTGTGGCTTTAAATATTACAAAACCTGAGGTTTTTTAATGTTCTCTTATTTGCAGACAGATTGATAAAAGAAGAAGATGAGGAAATTAGTGTGTAAATTGGGAAGAAATCATGTTTTCTCACAATCATACATACGCTGTCTTCTAAGTTTGAAAGATGATCATCAACTGGATCACATTGTTAAAATATTTATAATTTTTTTTCTCTGTCATCCTCTGTCTTTAGTACTCTAAGTTTCCCTGGTTGTCACAACTTTCTTCACCTCATCTCATCTCATAACTATAAAAATTATAATTTTCTTCCGGAGATAAAGGTATGAAATATTTTTGTGGAATGGCTTTCTTTAGTCTTAGTGTTGTGATTTTTGTTTTTGTTTAGCCAGCTGTGGGTTTTTCTGTGTCCTAAACACACACAATCACACTCCTTCTATTTCATTACTGCTCCTTATTAAGTGCCCATTCACATAACTTAGTTATTTCAAATTATTTATGTGAAAACACAGGAAATAAATATTTTGTAGCCAAGTCTTTGGAAAATTTTCATTACATTTTAAAAACCTTTAGAAGCAAATGTCCCCACTGACTTTTTCAAGAGCATCCTGTACAACTGCTTCACTCTCATGGTCCAGGGCAGACGTGGCTTCATCCAGTAGCAGAATTTTAGGATTTCGAACCAAAGCTCTGGCAATCGATATTCTCTGCTTCTGGCCACCGCTCAACTGTGCTCCTCTCTCTCCAACATTTGTTTTGTAGCCCTGTTTTAGAAATCAAGAAACTGATTACACAAGCACATTTAACTATACCAATATTTAGCAGTATCATTCATCTGTATTGAAAAATAATTTCACGTCTCAGCCAAAATGTAAAATAAAGTGGCAGGAAATGTGTCAAACATTTTGACAGAACTTCTATTGTTATTCTTAAGAATGAACTAAGTGAACATTTTATCATCACATAGCAGATCCTTTGCAGAATGTAACTCTCATCACTGTCTGCCTGAAAGAAGCTTTGTCTCTCACCAGCTCTCCTGCCTCGTGTACTTTCCTAACTAAGGGGTCACTTAAAATCCTGTGTCCATCTTTGTGCTGGTGGGCCCTTAAGCCTCTTTCCTGGCACCTTGCCTTCTGACACTATTCTTTCCAATCCACAATGGCACTTGTTTCAGCAAAAATATTCAAGTTTCCAAATCAAGATGCTATTTATGAACCAATCTCCTTTGATGTTCATATCTTTTAGAATCCTTTTCTTCTTGATCTGTGTTATTTTGAGAATCTTTCTATAGCATTTCTGCTCAAAAACCCCTGTTTTCTTCCTTGATGACTGTGAGAGATAGAACACCAGTTCAACATGTCATTACTGTTGAAGGAAAGACATTAAAACAAGCTAAGTACCTAGGCAGTGTATTCACTGAGGATGGAAGATTGGACAAACAGAAAACAGAATACAGAAGGCCAACAGCATAATGACCAAGTAGACCCACTTTTGAGGATTCAAAAAAATCAACATGCACATAAAAAGTAGCTGATCAACGTTCTTTTTGTACCAATGTTGTGCTATCAATGCCAGACATGGACAGTCCTAGAAAAACATAAATATGCAATTACACCATGTGAGATGTTTAGGAAATTTGATGGGAAAACTAAGAAGCTAAGGAGTCACCAATGAAGAACTAAGAACAATGGTGGGCATAGTACCAGTAGATGATTTCACAGAATATCATAGAATTAAAAAGGTTAGGTCATCTGGTTAACAGGAATAAAATCAACCAGCAGCTAGAGCATACTATTCTGAGAACTGCAGGCTACAAAGCAAGAGGCAAGCCAAGAAAGAAATGGATGGATGGAGTAAAAGAGACACTACAGAAATGTAGTTTGACATTATTAAAAGCTACACAACTAGCAAATGACAGGAAACTACATCTCACTCCTCTCTGTGAAGCTTCATGGCATCAACAGTAGGACAAAAGAAGAAGAAGTAGAAGGATTGTGAGACAGTCCACGACTCACATCCATAAGTTGCGGCAGGAAAGATGCATGCCCCAAAAATTTGAACTTGATTTCATAGCTGGTGCCTCACCACAGATTTTTAATGCTGCTTAATGTTTACATTGCTGTAGCCATCCTCTATTTTTTTGTTGAACAGTCTCCATTGTTGTTTATTATTAAGTGAGCACACATTCACATATACAGTTCTTAGACGTCACAAATATAATGGTTAAAAAAGATACCAGCTTGCTGAATTATTTGAGTTACACCCACAATAATAAGATGAAAACTACAAACTTTAATTGGTAGAACAACTGGAAGATCAACAGATAAGCACCTGTTGATTAAAGCATGACTGAGACACCACAGACCAGAACTGAGCCTGGTGACACTGTGAGATAGAGAACCATGGCCAACTATGTTTACCGATGATGATGATGATTGATGATGATGATGATGGCCTGACAGAAACTGGTTCTCTTCTAAAAACATTTATCACCATGACACATGATGATGATGATGATGATGACGACCTTACAGAAGCTGGTCTCTTCCTAATCACTCATTTTAGTGAGAATTTCTGTGCCAGAATAACCTACATAAGAAACAACTGACCTCAGAAAGTGCTTTGATGAAGTCATACATAAGAAACAACTGACCTCAGGAAGTGCTTTGATGAAGTCATGAGCATTAGCTTCCTTTGCTGCTGCCTGAATGTCCCTCTCTGTGGCATCGAGCTTGCCAAAACGAATATTCTCCTCAATGGAAGTATCAAACAACACAGGCTCCTGGCTGACGACACCAATTTGTTCACGAAGCCACTTGAGGTTGATGTCTTTGATGTTGTGTCCATCAATGACGACCTGCAGATTTTTACAGACATCATTGAAAACCTTTTCATTTGAAACAAATTATGTTCTGTATATAGAGTATATTCTAAATGTAATATTTACGCAACAAGTTGTTTACCTTTTATTTGTAATCAATCAGTTAATATATTCATTACTTAACCACATTATCATCATGTGGAAGGGCTTAGCAGAATGCCCCTCACAGCAGTCTGATGGGAAAACTTCAAAATTTCCTCTTCTTTGTTCACTTTCATGTCTAGGGTATTTTTAATGTTCTAAAGTCTTCTTTTAGTTGGTCAAAACATGTCTCTAGTTCCAGGAAATATGCCTTCCATTATTGATATTTCTTGTTATTTCTTCTTCTTCTTCTTCTTCTTCTTCTCTTCCACCTTGTACCTCAATAGAGTGTCAGAGGGAGATGTAACATTTTCATCTTGGGCATTTCTGTTTGAACCGTTAAATCCTCTGCCTACTTGCCAGACCTGTCGCGAATTCATATTTTCCAGTAATAAACACATCTTTTTGTTTACGCTGCCATCTTGGCCAGATTTTTCTTCATATTTCTTTACCCTACTTAATCAAATGATAGAGATATTTACTGCTGCTGACTGGTAGAGTGATTGTGATATGATTTTGATCACATGAATGAGGAAAAGTAATATCTATTGTGTGGTGTATAAGCAATATATCCTGCCTGACTTCAGTTATCAACATTCTTTGTGCTGGTTTTATTGACCCTCATCCTCAACTCCTGCCACACATCCACATCATGCCCACTGGATAATTGCCTAAGCTGACCGAAACAGAGATGACAAGTGATCTTGCAAATGGTTTCTCCCAGGGATGCAGTGTCCAGAAAGCCTGTGTCACTTATCAGCCCACTCCCAGTTTATATAGAACTCATTGTACAATGAGTGCAGTTCATAGGTTGAGCCTCCTACTAATTACACAGGTTCTGATATGTTTCAATTGATAGCTCTACTTAATGGCAACAGAGGGTTCAGACTTGCTACAATTATCTTAGAGATATGATCCATAGTTTCTTCAATGAGTGCATTTGCATATTTGGCCAAAAAAAAAAAACAGACTGCAAAGATCAGAGAAACAAATGTACAAGCCAAAACTGGAACAAAGCCAAAGTTCAAAAGTTGATAAACAAACAGAACTATGCCAGAGTTTACAGCAGTGAATGGAAACAAACAAGAAACGCTGCTAAAAATTTAGTATTAAAAGCTCATTACTGAATCTACTTCATTGTTCTGTAAAAAAAGTTTTTTTTTTAAACCATAACCCTTTCAGTATATAAAATGGTAGCAATGTAATCGGTCCTGTGAGGTATATATGTATTTATGTATAGGCAAGAAATATGCACAGTGAGTATGTATCAAAATACAAACACACATAATTATAAAATAATAGGAATTGACTAAGACAATACAAATAAAGTGAAGTATTAACTGCTGTATTTTTACAAACTAGGTCCTACACATGATAGTGGCAGAAATGTTGTTTTGAAATAAAATGCAAGTATTCAATGGATGCTGACAAAAGCAAATATGTCAGCCCTTTAAGAAACAGATGATAGGCATAAACTTGAAAACAAAATCAGACAGGTCAAGAATTGTTGGGCATGTTATTAACTAAGGTATGGCTTCCATTAATAAGTAAAATTCTAAAAACTACTTTTACTTTTTATTCCACTAATAAGTAATTCTTGTGCTAAAAGTGTATCATGTCATATAGATCTATAATAGAACAGGTCACAATTGACAGCCACACGTACACAAAAATTAACACTGGTGAATCAGCCATGTGTACATCTGGATTAGTGCCTGAGACAACAGATCACGTCCTTCAAGACTGTCCCAAATACAACATAGCAAAAAATATTGCCCAAGAGACACACCGGTACAAGCCAAACTTTACGAGTTACTGAATGAAACAGAGAGTGACGTTCATACTAGAGACAACATTGCAGATACAGATCATCTATTTCAAGCGAATGAAAGAAGAAGAAGATCAATAATATGGTATTTCAATATTTATAAAACACCAATAAAATCACAATGACATACTGTGCCTCCATCAGTATCATAGAATCTTTGCACAAGTTGTACAGTGGTAGACTTTCCACATCCACTGGGCCCAACAAGAGCCACATTTTGTCCTGGTTCTATAGTTAGGCTCAAATCCTTTAGAATCTGTTGGAGTTCAGCAATAACATATTTATAAAACTGCTCAACTGTGTATCTGGAATTTTTGATGCATCATCAAAACTTTAAAAAAATATGGATCAAATTTATATAAATATGTTGGCTTGCACCTACACATTTTAAATGAAACAAAGAAAAATAAAACATATATTTATAATATTTATTTTTTACTTAAATTTTTCATTGAAAATTTTTGTTTCATAAATGATTAAATTCACTTACATAATCCCTGAAGAACTTATATACAGTTTTTACAAAAAAATGCAACTCTCAAAATGTGCAGTGAAAGGTTTTAGTTTTTTAACGAGAATATTTATTTTACAGTAAATTAATTGGTATCCCATTTTGTCATGAAGTATTTTAGAGTGTGAAATATAAAATGCAGAAATCTAAAAATGCTTGTGTGAAACTAGAAAATGTTTAAAACTATTACAAAAAATGTAAAAGTATCACAACGTTTTTAAAAAGCTAATTAAAGGCCAAGAATAAGCAATTAAACATATGAATCCACTAGGACTGTGGGAGTTGTGGCAGGACACTTGCCTGCAGGCCTAGTTAGAGGTCATGAGTTCAAATAACCTTTCCTGAGGAATTTTATTTTTTAATCAACCTGGCCTTTCATGTCAACTCAGCTCAAAGCTGGCACCATCGAAGGTCCTGGACAATCAAGGAGACTGCTGTAATGTTGACCATATCACTTTACCAAGTTTCAGTTGGTCTTTGAAAAATACTCTTTGATGTATGGCTAATTTTTATTCAGACTGTTGGTTCAACAAAGGCACTCTGACTTTGAAAAAAAAAACATCCCTAATTAGTCAGTTTTTACATCATGCTTGTACAGGGATTATGGGTCACTTTTTGTTTCTCAAAATGGGGGCCTTGAAACCCATCAAGGAAAATAATTTAAAAAAAAAATAATAATCCCATAATAAGCATGGTGTTGGGTCTCCAGATGCTATTGACTGCTTGATCAAATCCTTCCACTTTTAAAGGTCAGATGCAATGGACCATGGTTGCATGCATACGGTCTGTACACTCAGTTAAGTTTTGTATCCAGGTCCTTTTTGGCCTGCCTCTTCTCTTCTTCTACTATACTGAGCCCTGAACTATTGTTTTTCAGAGCCTGCTAGACCTTAATGCATGTTCCTACTATTCTCCACTTTTCACTGTAGTAAAAATAGGAAACAGACGTAACTAACCTGAATATCTGGTCTTGCTGGGTAAGAAAATTTCACATTTTTGAACTCAATGTGACCATGCAGAGTTGGGGGTTTCAGTCCCTCCAGAGAAAAGGAGTCAATTTTAGGCAGCATAGCAATGATGTCAAAAACTTTAGTGGCAGCACCCCGAGCATTGGAGAAGCTTTCCAAATTGTTGAAGGCATTTCCCAGGGACATTGAACCAAGCATGACACCAAAGAATACCTTTGGATACATCAAATTCTTTTTAGCAACCTGCTTTAAAAGAACTTTCAGGTGACATAATATTAGCAAAACATTTGTGAATAAACAATCACTTTTAACTTCCTTTAAAACAACAAAATCATGGCTGTTTTCCGAATTCACCAGCTGTCAACTCTTTTGAAATGTGTAAAAAAGCTGTGCATAAATTTGACTATTTAGTACATTTTCACAGACTTCTATAGTTGATTATTTGTATAATTACTTCATTATGCACACATTTTATATTTCCAACCTTCTTCTTTTTCTTCTTCTTCTTCTCTTCCACCATTTACCTCAGTGGGGTGTTGGGGGAGGGAGGAGGGGGGAGATATAAGGATTGTTTGTGCACTTTTTCCCAAAGATTCGTACAAGCTGGTGTTCATTTCTGTTAGGTTGCTCCTGATGATTTCACTCCATCTCTTCATGGTCTCCCCCTTGCTCTGTGTTATATTTGTTCAGCGTGGCTCTCTGTGGCAGTGGGTGTCAGGGCATTCTCATCAGGTGGCCAAACCATCTCATTTGTAGTTCTTTAATAAATTGTATGACTGGTTTCAGTCCTAGTCTTCTTCTAATTTCTTAATTCCTGATTTTATCTCTTTTTGCCACATCAGCAGCTCTCCTAAGACATCTCTTTGATCTTGTTACGATTTTCTGCTCATTAGTTGTAGTAAGGGTCTATGTTTGGCACTGACAGCACAATGTCAGCCAGAAAATACCTTTTGAGATTTCCATCCCTACATGTGATAAATGCAATTAAACTTCAAGCATTAAAGTCTGTTCAAACTTGATTTGCTTTTGATAAACAAATTGTTAAACAAAACATAAAAAATTTTTAAATTTTTATATTCCAACATTTTTTAGTCGTCTGAGAACAAATTAAGATAAAACCCTGTCAAGTGTTTATCAAAGCAAACGAAGCTGAAGGTTACAAAATGAGTTCAAGTGCACATTTTAGAAGGGGACTATAATGTTTCATACTGGTAGGACTTTTCCGGCCTCCAAGTTGTCTTCCTGGATGAGGTAAGTGCCGAACCACATAACTCCTGCAAACATGAGAAACAGCAGAAACCAGATGATAGAGTTGCCCAGTCCTAGAGCCAGACCCTTCCTTGATGCCACAGTGACTGCATCATCCAGGTTCAGTTCATATCTGAAAACATATCATAAAACTGTGAACACATTCACTGCGGAGCATAATGTGTATAATCAAACTGCAACAAAATATGTTGGCAGCAGTGCTGGATTTAGGGATAAGTTAACTAAACTACAGCTTAGGGCCTCACATTCTGCGGGGACCTCAAAAAATTCCTATTTTGTGTTCAAAAATGGGATTTTTTTTTTAAATAAGCCTTTGAAAGGATTATGTAATATAGTTTCTGTGATTTTGCAGACACACTCTTTATTGTTTCTTTTACTAAAATTAAAAGACAACATATTTCCATCACCCCAGTATATTTAAAAGGTGTGTATATTTTCAAGTTCTCTGTGATTATCTGGTGTAATCTAAAACAGTAAGGCCTCAGAGCTTCACATAACTTAGGCATTCATAAAGTGTAAATCATGCTCTGGTTGGAGGCATAGTAAAGCAGTGACAAGACCAAATATTACCCCTGAGTTCTCGGCTCAGCCCAGACTAAAATTTTGACCACATCACAAGTTGAGCAAGGATTCATCTATAAACCTTCCGGTCTGACACCATATACCCTTTATACAAATAGCTTGAGAAGAGTAATTAATTGTAACTTTTTTTTTGTTTTTTTTTTTTACAAAACACCACAAGACTGCAAACTTAATTTTGTTGTCCTTTCACGGCAAATTACCGTTCTCTTAATTTTTCCCTATCCTATTAATTTCTCCCTTTTTTTCATGCCATTAAGATATTTTTTACCTATCTTAAATGTTCAATAAATGGTAAAATATCCCCCATCTCCTCTTTTAACCCAAATTATTTGTTTGCACTAGTTTTCTTGAACTGTGCAATAGTGCAGTAAATGCAAAGATTTGTGTGTGTGTGTGTCTATAACTATATCCTCTTTTCTTTGATTTCAAACCCAGTGTAAGTGGTTTCTTATTAGCCAAGAGCTGCCTAATCCAATAGAAAACATGTTCAAAGCAGAGCATTCTGACTTAAATAGGACACGGAAAACTAATATGATGATTTTCTAAGTTGTTTACTTGAGATATTTTTAAAAACAAATATTACATAAGTAGCTGTTAGAGTTGAGAAAGTCTTACAGTCATACATGTTGTAAGGAGACTTAATTACACATCTTTATCTGTTTCTTCTTCATCTTCAACATTCTGAGCCCTTGAGGTTCATTGATGCAGACATCACTCATTTTCATCCATCTCTATGATCAGCCTTCTCTTTCCAGCTGATGACTCCAAATGTTTGTAGGTCTGTCTTATATTTTCACTCACCCGTCTTCTTCGTCTACCTCATGGTCTATTCCCGTTCAGCTCTTTTATGTGTGCAGTTTTTATCTGTAAATCTGCCATTCTCTGTTTATGATCCAACAACTGCAGTCTGTTAGTCCTGATGATGCCAGTAACTAGTGGGTTACAGAGAGATCACAAATTTCATTCTTGCTTCTCAGCCTCCATTCTCCACTTTAGGCATTCTTAATGGACCGAAAAAGGGGATCTCTGTGGTGAATGGTCAAGCTGTTTGCCTTGCACTCTGATGGTTGTGGGTTCATTTCATGGCAGCACTGTTCAGCTCATCATGAGTGCAATTTTCAAGGAGATCTATGGGGATTGTTGCCAGAGCTACGGAGGTCGTGCTCTGTGCGATGCTCTCAGCAGGCAGCTGGCTGTTGCTGTTCTGCAAGAGAGACCATATGGGATAAAACCGGGTGCAATGAAGTCGATCCTTTCACCTTTACCTTTATTTAATGGACCAAAATATTCATTATAGAACTAAGTTCTCAAAGATCTCAATTCTTCTTCTTTTTCTTCTTCTTCTTCTCTTCCACCTTTTACCTCATCGAAGTGTCGGGGGGAGATGTAATGTTCGTTGATGAGCTCTGTCAAGAGCACTATTAAGACTGATGTTCATTTCTGTAAGGCTGTTCTTAATGCCATCACTCCATCTTTTCCAAGGTCTTCCACTCGCTCTATACCCGTTGTAATGTTTTAGTGTGGCTCGCTGTGGCAGATAGTACCAGGGCATTCTTGTTAGGTGTCCAAACCACTTCATTTGTTGTTCTTTGATGACCTTTAAGACTGGCTTTATTCCTAGCATTCGTCTGATTTCATGATTTCGTATTCTGTCTTTCCTTGAAACTCCTGCAGCTCTTCTAAGGCATTTCATCTCTGTTGTCACAATTTTACGTTCATTGGAGGATGTAAGTGTCCAGGTTTGGCATTGATAGCATAGTGTTGGCCAAAAAATAGTTCTGATAAGATTCACTTTAGTACTCCGAGGTATCTGCTAGTGTGTCAACAGGGGAGATAGTTGACCCATTACTTTATTAGCTTTGACACATCTGGAGCTAATTTCTCTGTCCAGTTTTCCATCGGATGTAAAAATTGCTCCCAAATACT